GTAGCCTTGCCCTTAACCCTCTCCACTTAGTATAAGTAGTCGGTCACCTTGTACTAGATTCTCTAACTTGAATCTACTCAATCTTCCCTGGAACATACTTCCCTCTGAAGCCCCCTCAGCTTCAGTCTCTAGTATCTCTTCTTAGTTGCTCTTCGCGACTAAGTCTATCTCGATCGACCTCATCGTCCGGACAAGACAGTCCCGACCTTGAGTGACTTCTTAGACATCCGTCTACCAAGTCACGTGACACGCGCGTACTGTGATCGCTGCCGACTCGTCGTCGCCAGTCTCACTTGCTATACCGGACCCTTCCGGTTACGTCACGAACGTTAGCGGACGACGCCCCTCTTAGGGCTCCGCCTAACAGATCTATTTGAGTGCGTAACACTAGTCGCACACGACCGTTTGTCGTAACAGTGGCTGCAACCCAGGCCTGGTCATCATACTCCGCCCAGTCTTGATCTTCTCCAATGACCGTCCGGGGATTGGACACTATTTCCACGTCATCGTCGATGTCCTCCAGACACCGCTGACGCCTTTTGGCTTTGCCCTTGGGGCTCGGAGATCCCTCCGGACGCGCACATTTCTTCCCTTTGCCTTTGCTGGCTGGCACCTTGACAGGCGGATTTCTGCCGATGCACTTTTCCTTGGATGCGCGGCACTGGTCACAAGTCCGGATCTTTCGGAAATCATCAGTAATCATCCGGATCCGGACAAAACAGAAAACTCACCCTAGGCATCTTAGACGCTACTGCCCAGGTGCAAATCTTGCGCCTAAGGACACACATCTCACACGCAGCCTCCGGATCCGCCAGACCAGAGGACTAACATTTTGTTAAACTCCGAAAAAACACAAAAAACCTCATCCAACTCACCTCCGACGCGTTGCCCATCCTAGCCTTTGCCAAATGCTCCTGCTCACACTCAGCCAACCTTTTCCGAGTTTCCTCGATATCCTTCCGCTTCTGTTCCTCCATCCGTTTCCGCTCCTCTTCCGCCTCCTTGTGCTTGCACTCCTCTTCCTCCGCCTCTCTCCGAGTGTCCGCCTCGAGTCGCGCGATTTTGGCCGCCATTTCCGCCTGCCTCTCTCAGAGGAGTTGCTGGGCAGACTTTGAGTTGCCGGAAGTGGAGTTAGACATGTTGAAACAGTAATTGGAGTTAGGGGGAAAGTTTTTAGACATCTCATGGGCGCCCCGGCCTACTTATATGTCCAGTTCTATTTTTACGAGCTCCGCCCATCATCCCGCATTCATAGAAGTCCAGTCCAGACTTCCAGATCAGAAGCCTCTTGGGCTCAGCCCTAAGGGGGGGATACTGTCATATCCCACATTCCAGACCCAGACCTATCACACATCATTTCTGGACTTCCGGATCCAGCCGACTTCTATCTATCGCCCGGATCCGACCCACGTCTATCTTCCATGCCTTATCCCTTTGTACGTTCCTTCTCCAGTTAGACTATACTCATTTTCTGTACCTCGTTTCATTTCTGCCTTTATTTTCCTATGTCTTCATCTCCGTCTTCATTTACTATTTTCCGATAGACTAGTGTTTGACTTTTCTATACGCTCCGTCCACAGCCTCGCATAGCTTCAGACTGCGCAGACTGACTCTCCATTAAGTCCTCAGTAGTATATAAACCCTGTAGAATCCTTGTACTTCCTCAGTTCGAATATTATCTTAGACTCTGCTCATTCCCTTCTCCGTCTGACTTGAGTTTCTCCTCTCGTCGTCCTCTGCTAGTCTTAGGATCAATTCCTATAGACTTCTCACCTCTGCCTCTACCTCTGGTAGTCCTCCACTGTTTCCTTTCTAGTTTGGACAATGTCTGGATTAGTCTTATCCCTTGTTCCTGAACGTCCACCGGAATTCCCATGCATTGGACATCGGACTCTGGACTCGTCCGACAACCTTCGGACATTGTCCAACAGCCCTCGGAAGTTAGGGGCACGTACTCGGGTAAGGGGTGCAGCGCACGAGCTGAAGCCAAGCCCTTCGGATCCGACCCTTGAGCACATTCTTAACAGGTTGGGGCTGTAGGACAGGATGATCCAGCCCTGAGTGCAATGCATGCACAGGTCATCATTTGGTGAGTTAAGTTCTTTGGTTGTTCTCGTTTCTCACTGTATATCAGTTTGGAAGGCAGGAAAAATTTTCATCGTTGAGCACCTCATTCTCATCTCCATCATAATAAAGAGATGCATGCTGCCACCTGTGACTCCCACATGTTGCCTCTAATTAGATGTGATTATAGATAGTGTTAGCACATCTAAAATGACAGACTTACAGTGTTTCTAAGCCTCCTCCAATATCTTTTGGTTAAAGACTGACTTATAATAAAAGAAAACAGCTGTAGCCCTATGTCAGCTGGCATGAGACATCGGCACTCACACAGGTAATGTTCCTGACGTTGGCTATCCTGCGCCCGCCGTGTGAACCTTCATGCTTGCCATCATACACAATGAGCACAATAATTCAAACATATCAGAGGTGTGTTTGGACACAGTGACTAAGCATAATGAGTGAAGTACATTGCAGCAGTATAATGGCTAAACTACTACTAGTAGACTACTCCTCTCCCTCACCATCATCAAGAACCTGAAGCCACAAGAAGTCATCAGTGATGAGGATGATGTCCTGCAAACTCCTCAAGGCTTCCTCTGCCACCTCCTCTGCCACCTCCTCTTCATCTAGGTCCTCTTGAGTATCTGCACCTACAGAAGATGAAAATTGACGTGAGAGTTGTCGTTGGAATTCAACCTGTCTGTATTTAGCATGAAGTACAATAGAACTTGAAGTGAGAACTTAATTGTACCCCAAGTAAATCACATATAGTCTTAATAAAAGCTTGAATTGATAAGTGAGGGCTCCTGAGGTGCACTACCCGATATAATTCAAGGGCTTCTGATGTTATGCCCATGACAGGCGATATTGGGGAGCAAGGCATAATGCCTTGATGAACGAGCGCAGAAGCAATGGTAATGTTGGTCGATGATATTTTGAGTATGAATTTCTCAGCAACTGTATGTTCACATAAGCATTGAAGCCACCAACTATTAGTAGTGACTCACATAACGTGTCTACTACAGTTACTGGCCATTGGCCACCATTAACATCATCAGTCCCTTCGCTGCATAGGTGATCCAAAAAATTCTTAAAGCCCTTCTGTGATTTCTCCAGGCTCCATATAAGGTATGCTTCAGTCATCCCTTGTATTTGCTCATTGAAAGCATCATTTCTCCATAGAACACGATCATGCCGCATGCAATTGTCAACACATTGAGCCCTGCGAGCACCATCTCGACCCTTTCTGATGTATGTGTCAATTACTGTTGGTCTATGAACACGCACTTACAATCTCCAAACCTCACCAAGAACACCTCTCACAAGGTCTCCAAACTCCCCCCTGGCATGGCTAATAGAGAGTGTGTCGGCACCATCACATATATCGTTGATATTGAAATCTTCGGAGTCCTCGTCAATGTTAGGTGGAAAGGTCAGGGGATCTTTGAGAGCTTCCAGAGCTTGGCGCTCTTTGGCTGTCATTGCTATAAACCAGGTCAGTGTCTTGATGTTTTTGAATGCCTGGATACTCACCTTGTAGGCAAATCTCCCGCCACTGTTTATAGCTTGCTGCTTGGAGGACCAATGCTCTGTGTTTGACCACCTTCGACACACAGTTGGCGGGAAGCCCATCCTTACCTCACAAAGAGCCTATGTGGCGGATAGACCACAAAGAAAGGTTGCTATGAACTCGTTTTTGACGTCCAGGATTCTGCATATTTTTTTCTCCTTCAGACAAGCCAGGTAGGTACATCTTATGCATGTTGGGTTATGTGACTAATCATGAATGCTATTAGTGCACATTGCCATCTATCCCCCTTTTCAACTAACTGCCATTTCCTTCAGTTTCTCATATCTGCCATGGCACGCACTCCCTCACCACCTGTCGCCTCCTGCCACAGTGATCATGTCCGGGACTTGCACCAGCTACTGGAAGGCATGGCTATATCAGGTGAGTAGTGGGTTTATACTATCTGACAATCAACCGCATGCTCATCCTTTCAAACAGGTTCAGCATTAGACACAATTACGTGGAAGCGCAAGACCGTCGAAGAGACTATCACCCTTTCCAAAGCATCACACACGAACTCCTTACATGTCAGTCGAACCATTCCTGCGCCCAATCTATCTACTAGCTTGCCATACAAGTTCCAAAACCCAGTGACATTGCACCCCCACGTGCTGATTTAGAACCTGAAGGGTTCTGGGTGGTCACAATCGGCCAAGAAGTTGGTATATTCTACCACTGGTGAGTGTTATCAAACTTTTCACTGCTGATAATAATATTGACACTAATCTTAGGGCTGATGTGGCTGAACGCACCCATTTTGTTAGTGGTAACATTCAGAAGTGGTACCCTTCTTTTCAGAAGGCGCTTCAAGTATATACCGCACAATATAACGAAGGCAGAGTGCAAGCTGTCCCAACCCCAGGTGGTCCTTTCTGGCTATCTCCATCCCCATGTTCCCCATCTTTGTCCCCCGACTCGGATGGCCTGTGGTCGCAACTAGATGACCTGTCAGAGACGATGTCATACTGTGAACTTTAGATACTTTCATAGTAGTATGCTGTATCAACCATGTACATATGTAATACTTGCTTGTAATACATCAGCAATGGAATCTTTATACTCAGTTCACAAAACGTGCAAGCTACTTTGTGTGATTACAAAATTGATGCAGATGACTGAATGACATTGGACTGATTACCTTAAGAGTCCGCATGTAGTAGTATCCTGGCACAACTGTAGTTAATGATTTATGCAATCATAGTCCTAAATCAAGGCCCACTGCACTCACCATACATTCAGTATAACAGATATTAACCTTGGTCACAGTTGGTGTGATTTGGACTGATTTAGAATTCTATGTGAGTGCAATATTCTAGAGATACTACAATGTTCAATATGTGTTCAATATGGATTTGCTATACATTCAAATGAATTCCATATACGTTCGCTATGAATTCACCATATGTTCGCCATGAATTCGCTATACATTCGCCATTGATGCATTGTCTGTTCACTACCAATCCAATATTTGTTTGCCATTGATTCAATATAACATCAGAAGTTCGATGTATCATATAGTCACAGACTACTTAGTTTTACTGTTAGCTGCTTTAACTTCGAAGAATCTGACCTCTGAAACAATACAAATGAGCAAATCATGCAATACAATGATATTGTACTTGAGGCACTCCCTACAGTATGGGCAATTGGTGTGCACAATGTCTTGGATACTTTCGAGGAGTGACCTTCCCTCGCAAGCATGTAAACTACACTCATCAAGAAAGATGGCAGTCTCTCATTCCCCCTCCTTTTGCGCACCTTCAAGCAGTTTCTCATATGCATCACATCCCACACATGTTCAGACTTCTCGACCCATCCCTTTTGCCAGCAGTTGGCCATGTTCTCAATGTCTTGCAGGGTTAGCGAGTTGCAGGAACAAGGGAGGTCATTCTCCATGGTGAGTATAGATCCATTGTCAACCTCGGGAGTGGTAGTGTGAGAATGCAGACCTTTGAGCACAGGCGAAGTGACAGAGGGGATGTCACAGTGATTTCGTCCTGCAGGGGCTTGTGTTTTGTTTTTTCTATGGGTGCGGTCAGCAAAAGTAAGAGACATCAGTAAATGGAAGTGATTTGACCTAGCCCACCTGCCTAAAAAAATGGATTTATGTAAGTACGAAATCATGACTCAAGACTGAGAGTTAAGGGACTGACTTGGCCATCTGAACATGTGCCTTTGCATTTTGTGTATCTCAAACTCTTAGTAAATAGATGAGAAGTGCAATCTCAGTGAACTTGAGAAGAAAAAAATTACCCTGGCTTTGCAAGCCAATGCTTGGTAGCCAAGCACTGCCTGCTCATACTAACAGGAGGATCCTGCTTATGAGCCTTTGAATGCATGTTAAGTATTATACAACCATTTGAGTCCAAAAATTGAGACTTACCATTAGTAGCTTTGGAGGGGGGGGAATAGGTCGTGAGACTTTCTCCTAGTTCAACCAATCTGACCATAATTTAATATGAATTGATCACAGTGACTATCCTTACCTTGGGATTCCCCAGTAGAAATGTGTACTACCAGCACCCCCAACCAATATCATACATATTACGCGGAACTATCCGAATACCATCGGCATTCAAGTTGGATCCAAGGATTATGACAAACTCATCTCAGCGGAGATGTGTATTATCACCTCCAAACTATCTGAACACCATCGGCATTCAAGTTGGATCAAAGGATTGCGGTGAGGAGGTTATCTCGGAGATGTGTATTATCGCCTCCAAACTATCCGAACACCATCGGCATTCAAGTTGGATCAAAGGATCGCGGTGAGGAGGTTATCCCAGCGGAGGTGTGTACTTACAACTATCGCCCCTGATCAAAAGAAATTATCAAATCTTGATCTATATATGAGCTTCCAGACCTTAAGGTGTGCTCGATTCTAAAAAGCTCAGTTCCTTTCATCTCCAAATACAGGAACAGCACTGTTGCTGATGCTTGTTGCCAGTTGTTATGATATTCACAGGCCAGAGGCCAGCCATTGCTCTAAACTTATCCTACTGATTAGCATTATACCAGTGAGTGTTCCCATAGGTTTCTCTGTGTCGATGTTGCTGATGCAAGCGTGTTGTGTGACTGTATGGCATATTGTGTTGTTTATGCTGGACTTGGTTCTGGAACTGGCAGGGAATGTGACTGTCAGCATGATAGTTCATTGCCAACTCCGAGAATGTTAACCCATATGTTTGACATCCTTTTTCCGGCCTCGGAAATAATGTACGGAGCCAAAATGAAACGAACTGAACTCGATGTTTTAGAATTGAGCACACTGTAAGCACATTTGTTCTATTCATGTTGTTCCATTGTTGACTCAGATCTGCCATTTTCTTGTAGGGTTTCAATGACTTGACTATGTTGTCCTAATTCTGGAATAGGCTCGGGTTCTCAAGGTAAGCAGCTTTTTTTTCTAATTGTGTCCCCACAACAATGCTCCTTCCTACCTACACAGAAAAATATGAGCTACAAAGACAACTTCAACATCAATGGAAATTCCTTCGCTGGCACAGGATATTTCACAGGAATCCTCAATGAAAATGAAGGTGCAGTGTTGGATATGTATGTCTCACTCTTAGTACTGACCTTCAAAAAACAGGATTGAGCCAACATTGGCACAGTATCGACTGGGAGGACCCATTATTATACACAATGCCACTGATGAGAGACGAGTTAGCAGCCCTCAACAATGGACTGGCCCTTCCACAATGTCCTACTCCTGTCATTGCCGATGTTTCACCTGAGGCACATCAACTCACACCGTCCTCTTGTGCACTGTCTCGCGCGCTGTCACCTGCTGATGGAGAGTCACCACCAGAGCTCCACTGTGACACGAATTCGTCCACCTGGGCAGCACGAAACCCAACACGTCCCATGCTTCATCGCTGGACTCCACTGCCTCGGCTGTCAGATGCCCAGAAGGCCTCTCAAAAAATTAAGAAGGATCAGAGGACTGCAGTTACAAAGCATTTACACGACGCTGTTGCCAAACATCTACAAGAACAGAAAAATGCAGTCATATTGCTCTCACTCACTCACAACATCACTCCAAAACATATCGACAACATGATCAGTAATCAGACCAAGTATCACACAGCGCGCAAGGTTAACCTGACTAATGCATTGATCCATGCCAAAGCTAAGGAGATGGATAATGGTATGCCGAACTTCTTTGCTTTATCTTGTAGTTATATTTACGTCCTGTTGCAACAAGATCAGCCTAATGGCTCTAGGCATATATTGCCTAAGCTGCACGAAATGGTTGCCAAGGATCCTGACATGCAAGATTTGACGAGGGACGAGAAGGCCGCCTATGTGGCTGCTCTTAGTGAGCACCATGAAAAAAAGGTAAGTAGTGTGTGAGCAAATAACATAGCTGCTGCGCGAGATGTCTTGACCACAACAGAAAGGGTTGTCAAGGAGGTGAGCTCTCCATCTGTTGCATGTATTCTACTGAACTTATCTTCATTTCGAAGCTCGATGATCTGCGTGTTTGGACAGGCACCTACGGAACTCTCTTTGTTGTTCGGGCCACATCAATGACACTATTCAGAGCACAATGCATGGTACTGACAATTCTGAAGACTTCTGGGAGGACGTTTATGAGTCTCCAATGGCTGATGTTCTCCGACAATACAAACAATGGGCATGTACACAGAATCAAAGTAAGTTATCTGGCTCCTCACAATAATATTTTGTTCTTATTGAGTATCTTCGAGATCTTAATGAACTTCCGTGACTCTTTGGAAACAGTCTGAAAGCAAGTTCGAAGATTGATTGTCCAAGGACTGGGTATGTGACAACATTCGTTAGTGCATGTGAGCGTTGTCTGACATATTTACAGTTGCAATAAGAGGCAAAAAGGACATTACAATGAATTACAACAACTACGAGATGGTTATCGTCGAAACATATGCAGTCCACCTAGTAGGATGACCCCAGGGTGTCAAATTTATCAGTCCTTCAAGCATTGGGACTGTCAGCAAAATCCACAAGCTCTGTGATATGCTGAGGGCCAAGGTATGTTACTGGAGTGCTCTGACCCCAGCAGAGGTCAAAGCTCATACTGCTGCACTCAATATGCGTCGTTTGGCAGCCATGCAAGAAGTGCTCCGATGCTGGAATCCCTCGCAAGTGCAAGGGTGCACCTACTACTGGACAGGGAAACAAAGAGAATAGAAGGCCATCAAAGAAGGTGAAAAAGAATACCAGTACCCAGCATCAGGAGGCCACCAAAAGTACAGAATTTGTTATGTTGTCTGAGGATGAAGATGAGGACAAGGACAAGTATGGCACCCTGCTACCCTTCTATGTATATCATAAAGACTTGTACATATCTGAATGATCAGTAGCTGTCACTGTGTCCAAATGCGCCTCCGATATGTTTGAATTATTATGCTCATCGTGTATGACAGCAAGCACAAAGGTTTGCACGGCAGGCGCAGGATAGCTGACATCAGGAACATTACCTGCGTGAGTGCCGATGTCTCACACCAGCTTACATAGGGCTACAGCTGTTTTCTTTTATTATAAGTCAGTCTTTTACCGAGAGATATTGGAGGAGGCTTAGAAACACTGTAAGTCTGTCATTTTAGATGTGCTAACACTATCTATAATCACGTCTAATTAGAGGCAATACATGGGAGTCACAGGTGCATGCTGCATGGTCCAGTCAAATGACGGACTTGGCCAGCTCCTTCCTCTCGTGGAAGCACAGTGGCATCGAGAGTGTGATGAGTGAAATCAATGGTAGAATAGGATCAATATTTCATGTTAGAAGTGTTGGTATCTCGGGTAAGTGTCAAGTATATTGATCTTCTCATTGACAAGCAGTTATTTGCAGGTTTCTGTGCTGCTCAAACAATCCACCAAGCGCCAGATGAGCTCACCAATGTTTCTCTAATCAAAGCTGGCTTCTTAGGTTGTTCCCTGCAACAACCTACTGCTGCTATCGCTCTTGAATGTCTCAAACTTTATCATCAAATCCGCCACTGCAAGCCATGGTCAAGGTCCTTTGCACACTCCATAAAGTGCACAAATGAGCTTCCTCACTGTCCCTTACTAATCTTACTGTAGCGTACATACTTTCAGTCATTCCGTGATCAATTCTCGATTGCCTTTGATGCCTATCTCAATATGTTGTGTCATGTCAAGGCTGTTGTCAACCAGGCACTTGGACATGATAGTTTGAAATGGCGGATGTTAAATGCTTGTCTACCATGCAGCTATAAGGTATGTAATATTCATATGTTCTTCTGATGCCTGAAATCTAATAATCATTTAGCAAGATAATGAAGAACCCCTTGACCCCACTCAACTTGACAGCATGGATGGGAACAATTCATTAAAGTGAATAGATGGCTCTGGCCATGCTGATAAACAAATTTTTCCATCAGACTACTTGATTGCACCTTCTGATGTTGAATTATTCAAAGATGATATTCACCTATGCCCAGGCACTCACATACCTACTGATGTCACTCGTTTAACTACCAATGACGACTCTGCCTGCACAGAGAATTGGAAGACAGCAAATACTGTCAGTGAGAACACTGTCGGTATCTTCAATCAGACAGGAATCTTTATCAGTGCTTGTCGTCATGGCATAGTACAGACATTGGTGAAGATGTGTAAGAGTGGCGAACTGTATGCCATAAACATTTTATACTCAAGTGTACATTATACTAATTTTTTCTTCTAGTGCAAAGTATGCACTAGCAACCACAAGCAAGATTCTTGATGTCTACAGCTCCAATGGTGCCACAGGCTACAATATTGGATGCTCATATAGCAAAACTGTTGCAGCAAGTTCAATATCAACAAAGGCCAGTGCTAAACACCATCGCTTCCTAGTCAACACATTTCATGGCCACACTCACAATCACCAATGTCAAATTCAATATCATCTGCTCTATCAGGAAGGTCTTGGGATCGAAGACTTAGAAACATGTAAACGAATCTTCTCTGCTTCTAATGCTGTTGCACCTGTAATTTGTCATGCTTCTTATTTTCATTGGCTACAATTCAACAAACTTCATTTCGACCAATGGGACCTAGACAAATACTCTGAACTCAGTGAGTGTTTTTCTCAAGTCTAGAGGCCATATATCAATAACATTTTCATAGGTAAATTCATCTACAACAACTACAAGCAGGCTCTTCATATTGTCAATGAGCTGTCACCTGCAGTTCAAGAGCTCAAAGTACAGCCTGACCTGACGGACGAGATGGAATAGCGAGGAATTAGAGTACCTGCAGACCCTTGCCACTGAGACCAAAGAAGACATTGAGAAAATGACATACGTCAAAGCCCTTGAGTCTTTGGCGAGCGCAGAGTATGTTTTCAAATTCCTTATGTCAGACTAAGTTCAATTAAGAGATATCTTCAGGGCCAAGTACAGGAGTGTCACATCTGTTCAGTTTCTGTCCTATAGTCTGACAGATTTCATGCCTACACAAGGGCTTCGCAAAAGTGTGCAAACTGTTGCAAGAGCTCGGGAGGCTGAGCACAGTGCAGCATACTGCAGGTTAGTTTTGGAGATGAATGCTGTTGATGACCTTGCACTGTCGAATTGGCATCACTGAATGTTGGACTTGAGAACAAGATCAATACAAGCGTGCACTCAACTCATTGATGAATCAGTTGTTTCATTCGTGTTGTCGAGCACCTTGAGGGATTAGTGGTCAAGAGGCTATTTGAGTTAGCCAAAGCCAATCTTGCAGGGACCAGTAAGTTTTTTGTAACATGGTGATCCAGTACTTGTTCATGTTTCAGTAACAGGCTACAAATTACGACAACATATCTCAAATGCTATTACCCAACGTTCTGCAGCAATACATGCAGCGTTGGACAAGTACAATGACCTTGCACCTTTGCAAAATCCACCCCAACTGACTCTCACATACCATGAAGTCGCATCTTATGCATGACTAGGTGAGTTTGACTTACTGAAGCATTCTCAGCAAGACCTCCTATCCAAGCCTTGGGCTTCAAAAACCAATTGCGAAGTTGCTGCCAAATATTTTAAAGTAGTGCGTGCACATGAGGAGCTCGCTCGCTTGAATGTCGAAGTAGTGTGGCTTCATGCATGGGTCAATGATGAAGACACACATCTGTCATCTGTTGCACGATCACTCTCGGAAACTGACCCTGCCCTTGCATATAAAATTCAGTGCTGGTTTGAGGAGTGTCATCAGGTGAATAACATTCACTGCACCAAACTTGAAGCAATCTATGATCTCCCAGGATACAATGGTCTCATTCAGGCAAGTAAGAAAAGGAGGGAAGGGAAGGATGGAGATCATGTTGAATGGGTGTTGGGTGACTTAGAAGGATCCTCAACGATTCTTGTAGATGAGGATGATGTTCTTTGTGACAAAGATAATCACCTCGATGCATGCATGTCTGAGTAGAAATTAGAATTGAAATACATGGCAATGATATGATTCAGTGTGATATTCAGAGACAATGTATATAAGCACAATACTACTCAAAGATGATGGGTGCTACAACACCAGCAGTAGAATTCTCAACTTCCACATATTGAAGAATGAGCTCTGTTGCTTGGTTCTTTGTACCAGCCCTTGCAAACACAAGAGGGTTTAAATTTAAAGTTGGCATCCAGCAGGTTATGAAACATGAGCAGAGGCTTGAAATCAGGTATTGTGCTTATATATGTCATCTCTGAGCATGCTACTTAATTTTATCCCCTGGAGTATGGGCACAGCAGCAGAGACTTCCCATTCTTCAACCCTTACACTCGTCTGTGCAGCACAGCAGCATAAATTTCCTGTTCTTCAGCCCTTACACTTGTCCGTGTGGTGCAGCAGCATGGACTTCCTGTTCTTCAGCCCTGACTACCTCTTTGGGGTGCAGTAGCATGGACTTCCCATTCTTCAGCCCTTACACTCATCCGTGCAGCGCAGCAGCATGGACTTCCCGTTCTTCAGCCCTTACACTGTGTTCTGAGGGAATGGTAACACATTCTTATATCACTTTAGCAGTGATGGTGGTGCTGACCTTATTGGCCTTTTCATTAATTTAATATCCAAGAAAGGGAGAGGCGGCAGCAATTTACTTACCGAAAAGCAAGCTGCCGCCTCGCTCTTTCTTTGTCCTCCATATAGTACACCTACAGTCTCTCACATAAAATTTTTTCATAGCTTGATCTTGCTGTAAACACAAATACTACTGTACGAACATCCCTTGATCACTTGATGGTCTCTGAAACTTATTCTCCACTGCAGCATTCAATTTTTGTTAGATTTGAAGCACACTACTTGTTTTCAAATTGAGCAAACTTCCTTCAAAACTTGCCAGCACTGCTCGTCAGTACTCAACAGTCTCCTTGCTTGAAAATCACTGATTTGCGGAAACTCGTTGATACATGAGTATCCCAGGCAATTTTGTTGATGTGTGACATGTTCACCTCTCAAGTAGCACAGCCAATTTTGAAGAAGATTTTTAAGAAATGGAATAAACCAGTGCGCACTCATGGTGTGAAGGTAAAAACAAGCAGTAGTAAGTCACCCTATTTTCTTTATCTCATCTCATTCCTCATCCTGTCCCACACAGCCAATAATATATTTCAACTTGGAAGCTGTGCCTCAATCAAATTTCCCCCTCCTGCTCAGGTTCCTCTACCTGCAAGGGAGTTTGTTCTTGGACGTCAGTGTTATGACACAAGGTTGTGTGTGACTTGGATAGTTCTAACAGCAACAACCACGACAGTGGTACCGAGTGCTGAGAGTCATCAGCCTTTACAGACAAGCAAAGGTTGCACACTCAAACATAGCTCATATAGGAATGAGGGGTTACACTGAGATAATAGTGGTACAGACAGAGAGAGGCGTTTCTGAAGGTGCGGTCGATGTCGAGCAGGTAGCTTTAGCAGGACAAGAAGTTCAAGGGAAAACCAAGTAGGATTAAAGTAAGGAACGTCTACTGTAATCCTCAACCTTATATAAGGCTACTCTATCATATCTAAGCTCAGCCTAAAGCTGGGTTCTAATCTGCTTATCTATGAGTCAGAGATAGTGTCCATGAGGCAGGCTTCTATCTAAGATAGGATCCTCAAGGCATTCTTCTATCAGTACATGAGGCAACACAAGGTTTGCCTTCTATCATGATAATATAAATAGGTCTTCTAGACCTATGTCATCATATGCGGTCCAGACCACTTACCTAAGCCAGCAGTTGCCGCTTGTTCTTCTATCTTCTATCATCATCTATTGTCATAGGGTTGGTGAGGCCCTGGTATCATCTATAGCCATGCAAGGTGGCAGAGGGCTGGGGTGGCAGAGGAGACTCGTGTAACATGTTGTAACAGTCAGTGTCCTCCACCTGCACCTACTGCTGTCCACCAGAGGCCTGCACCTTCTCCTGCTCAGGTTCCTCCACCTGCGAGGGTGTTTGTTTTTGCACGTCAATGTCCTCCACATGCATCTGCTGCTGTCCATTAGAGGACTGTGGCTTCTCTCCCTGAGGTTCCTCTGAACATCAACAGTGTATGTATCATCAAACCATTCACATACAACCCCTCACTATACCTTTGAAGTCTTTTGCCAGCTATCAGTGTTCCAGCAGTCCCACAGTAACCATCAGTGAGTGATGGCTTCAAGCAACATTTACACACTAAGTCTTTTGTTAGGTTTAATTTCCACTGTATCGGACTTGTCCAGTATCCCAAACTCACTTCCGCTCGAACTACCGATGCAATCGCAGGTCACATCATCAAGTCTCTGAGATGTCACGCCAAATATAGGACAATTGACTTCTTCTATGGTATTTGATTTCATAAACCATAATGCCCATCACTGATGGTATTTTTTTTTTGAAGGGCTCAGAGGACTCTATTGTTATTGCCTTGGACACATCCTTATCAGAGTGTAACACCATCCACCATGTGACTTTGGGTCATTCTGAAACCACTAATCCACAAAGCTTTACAACAAGTGTGGTTCATGTGATTCCTTTACCTTAGACTCAGTACGATACTATAGGACAGTTTGGGTTGGGTCCATTGCACCCACTCTTGGGTGGGAGAGTTCAAAGGCCAGTTAATGATGATGCTTTACCATCATACATCGACTCTGTTGCAGCAGGAGAAGAATCTGTTTACATTGTAACAAGGTCAAATTAGCTTACATCAGGCTAAGGATGGTGTTTACATTGTAATAAGGTCGAATTAGCTTACTCACACTCAACTGAAAGTTTAAAATGCTGACATTGATATACCTCTACAAACATAAGGTATATCTTTGACAAGCCAAATATCTACCCTATGGCCAAACAAACAAAAATTTTGAAATGAATTAGTCTAATGAACCTACTGTCCATTGCCATTATATTTATTCTGTGGCCCTTTGAATGTCTGTGCTTCTTGTCTGTTCAGTCTGCATATAATGGTTCTCAACATCACACAAAAAATCAAATGTGCTAGACCAAAACTCACTGTGACACAGAAGGCCAACTGTCATGAAAAGGCCATTAGCCTCTCAAATGCTATCAATGAGGCATGTGAAGCATATCAGGAGGAAGCTGCAGTTATTTCTGAGAAATACAAACAGTAAGAACACAGAATACCTTGTAATGACCTCAATACTTACATTGTTGTCAGGAGCATCAAATGGACTCGGCTCCAGTTGCACAATGATACAGGCCTGCGCAAGCGCAGAAAACCTAATGCATGGAATGCATTTGTTACGACAAACGGTCGTGTGCGACTAGGATAATTTAACAGCGACAACCACGACAGTGGTACCGAGTGCTGAGAGTCGTCGGCCTTTACAGACAAGCAAAGGTTGCGTACTCAAACGTAGCTCGTGGTGGTTAACGAGGGGTTACGCTGAGATGATAGCAGGGTTTACAGACAGTGAGAGGCGTCACTGAAGGTACGAGTCGATGTCGAGCAGGTAGCTTTAGCGGGACAAGGAGTTCAAGGGTAAACCTAGTAAGATTAAAGTAAGGAACGTCTACTTTAATCTTCGACCTTATATAAGGCTACTCGTCGTATCTAAGCTCAGCCTAAAGCTGGGTTCTAATCTGCTTATCTACATGTGTCAGAGATAGCGTCCATGAGGTGGGCTTCTATCGTAGATAGGGTCCATGCAGTACCCTTCTATCAGTACATGAGGCAACACGAGGCTTGCCTTCTATCTTGATAACATAAATAGGTCTTCTAGACCTATGTCGTCATGTATCGTTACGTGTGGTCCAGACCGCTTATCTAAGCCGGCAGTTGCCGCTTATCGTCTATCGTCATCTCTCGTCATCTGTCGTCACAGAGCTAGTGAGGCTCCGCTTATCATCTATAGAGCTGGTGAGGCTCCGGTATCGTCTATAGCCGTGCAGGTGGCAGAGGGCTGTCTGCTGGCGGGGGACTCATGCCATGTTACTGTAACAATTCATGAGTCAAAAACTGAATGAAGCAAACCTAGGTATTAGTACACCTTGTCTTAGTTAATGAAAACTAACACCTTACTATAGCGCTTCCTGTGGGACAGCAGTGGAAGCTTACAGTGTTCATTGCAGAGCATGGACAAGAACTCACCACTGGATATTGTTGCCTTTCAGCATCTGAGAAGGAGAAACTTCATCGCAAAGTTCATAATTTACGCGAGAATTGTGTCAAGATTGTGCATTCAAATCCAAAAGCACTACAAAAACAAGTGAATGTGATGTTCAACAACATGGAAAAAGAAGTATGTACCACAAGTTTTTCTGGTTGTATATGACCTAAGAATGAGTGTTAGTGGGAGAATATCACTTCTCGAACAGGTGTCAAAGGCTTCTACATTGCTGTTCATGGTGATGTTGAACATTTTCATGAATCAAAAATATTCTACACACCCAAAGCCCAATCCTTCATCAAGGAGATCTCACATCTGGACCCGAAGTGTTTTGCACTCAAGTTTGAGTCATGGGTGACTGGTGATTTTGGTAAGTGCATGTTGTCCATGGCTAACAAATACTTATCATTCAGTGTTCAGATACTCATGCTGATGTAACACATTGTTTGCCTTCTACCAAGTTGATTAGTCTGTGTTGCACTAACATCCAGGAGGGACTCAGTGAGTACATATATTTTCAATCAAACAATTTGCTTATGCAGTCCATGTGCCAAGATGCCATCATGAAAAAATACAACCTGTCAAAGAAGAAGGTCAAAATGAACTATGACAACTATGAGCAGAAAGTCATTGAGATGCATGGCATCGCGCTTGAAGGCTGGACGTGTGGGAAGGTTCGAAATCCCAGCAAGATTGGCCACCGCAAAGACTTGGTGATGCTGCTCGATGCACTGGTTAATGAGTGTTGCTTGTGGATTCAACTCACCAAAGAGCAAGTGGAGAATCATATAGCTACTAACCATGAACGAGTGAAGAACGGCGAATCCATTTACAAGCCACACAAAGCTATGAAAAGAAAGGTAACTGGTGGCGCCAAAAGTGTAGATATAATTGGGGATACTGACAGCTCAGAGGATGAGGTGGTGGATGAGGATGATGAGGCGCAAGGCACAGAGGGAGCGGTCGTTGTGGGTTAGTCACTTGGTACCCTGTTATCACATCTTTCTGCCAATGAGCCTGTTATTCTTGAGGTTAGAACACTTCTAAGTGATAAGAAATAATACTAGCCATCCAGTAGCAAAAGGTCCGGAAGAAAACAGTTGAAAAACACGCAAGGAAGAGCCATATATTGAGCTCATCGTCGTAGATGACGAGCTGATGTTAAGCGGTGGGCACAATACAGAGGAGTGACGACAGTGGGAAATTGCCGAGAACAGGATTCGGCATTAGGCAGGCTGACGCATTGGGCCCAAAACAGCACTGCTATATTTAGTAAGACAACGAGGAGCCCCAAGGTACTGCTGGTTTGCCAGTATATTCGCTGGTGTGATAGAATATAGCTACACTCTACTACTTAGTAACAAAATCAGGTACCTGACATAATTACTAATTAGTAATATAGATGGTGCCACTCAGGTGATATTCACTGATGACGGAAGCGTTAATCTTCCCGAGGTGTTCTCATGAGGGTTGTGCGGTAAGAGCTCGTAGCGTGGTCCAGCCTACTGGCGAGCCTAAAAAGAAATGGGTGGGCTCGACATTGGCTCAACCCACTACACATACTGAATAGTTGAATTGATGAGCTGCACAAGGATTATTCAAAGACCATATGTAGTAAGCGTACGCTGTACTTTTCTTCGACTGATGGTGAATCTTTCTGTATTGGTATCTTCTTGGAGGTGCTTACGCACACCGCCTCTTTGTCTCCACAGCTTCGACAAGTATTTTGCGATCTCGTTAATCACGCATATCCCCATGCTCTGTCGCCCATCTCCACAACGTTTACAGAACTCCTGTGCTGGTACCCTTGTCGAAGAACACAGCACTTGACTCCGTCAAACGATATTGCAGCGCCGACGTACGAGATATGACATGTTCATTCGCATCTTTCATGCTAGGCCCTAGGTGCACACATATCTTGATGGTTTTATGACTTCTGACGCACCAAAAGCAACAGAACAGAACGCACCTCTCCGCTCACTGCACCGCTTCGCCCGCTGGCTAAAGGCCTGACCTCGATATGATAGGTGCATAGTTGAAGCAAGTGCTGCAAAAGTGCATCTGGCTCTGGTGGAGTGACGATGTGGTGTCTGACGACTAATACTGCGTCCATCTGTATTTGGGTTTGTAGAAGCAGTAATGGCTCGAAGTTGATATTGTTTTACCTTGACACAGAGGGCTCTCAGAGCACGAGCAAACCGGGACAGGTCAAGCAGCGAAACCCCGAGCCATTCGAGCGATGTGATGTCATCCAGGATTACGAGTGGGATTTGGCCATAGGTTTGGGAGTCTGATAATTTGGCTGATAGTAGATCGTAGATGTACTTTAGAGAGATGACATTCAAAGGCCCCTCTCCACGATTTTGGGCTGGTGGGTGCTGGTCGAAGATATCTATGAATTGAAAGGATTCGCTGTGGGTCATATTGGCGTTCTGTGGGGAAGTCAGTTACTATTAGATCGACGAGATGGCGAGGACTGCACGTACAGCCTTTGAAGCTACTGATTTCCAGCGCTCGAGGCTTTCGGATACAGCGAGAGCAAAACATTTCGCGGTTTTACTTTGCCTCAGGTGCAAGTGAAGGAATCGATGCAGTAAAAAGTCCGCTGGAGCTGGAAGCTGGTCTGTTATTAGAAGCAGTCGATGAGAAGAAAATAGGTCGGGCGCAGGGAACTGCATGATCAAGAAAGCATTCGACTAGCTACCTGTTACATTGCATTAATATTGTTACATGTGTGTTGCCCTGAATGATCGGTTATAATTACAGACACAAACAATTGAAATAAAGCTCTCGCCGTCGCTCCCTTATAGTATTCCCTACTCATCACTTCGCCGGTTTTCATAAAGCATTTTAGTATGGTTTCACTTTTAATCTGGACCCAAATATTGATAATTCGTATTAGCAAAGGTCTACCTAGACCATTGGACGTGACATTGTCATGTCTATTCTCAGCTTCGAGGATCTCTTCGGGTCATGTACCCTGGAGGTGATAGCTCCAGACACCTCCATAAAGTTTCCCGAGCCAGGAGCTGCTGATGACTGGTTAGTCGCGCTTAAATCATCTGGTATTGAAAGAAGACAAGCGTTCTTCGGTAAGGTACAAGATTTCATTGCACATGCTAGTCTTGATGTTCATCAAATGGCTAATCAGATGAGCAACTACACCTTCTCTTGATTGCACAAATACCCTGTCCATCTGTGGACGTTGATCCCGAGTATCCACCTACATTCCTTCTCGATTTTCTTGCCCATGTGCAGGTTTCGCTTGAAGCCACTTATATCTCGCAAACACCTACAACTCTCCCTGAAACTCCCCAGACTGCCCGAGTCCTTGCTCCACCACGCACATCGTCTGTAGCTAAGCCTCGGCCTACATCACTTCATCCTTCCTTATTTCCTCCCCATACACCAAATCCTACACCATCTTCTACGGAGAGGGATCGCAAGTACGCACAATCCGAAGGAACTCTTCTTCTTGCCAGTATATGGGGTCACAGGCCCGCGAGTTTATCTAAAGAGAAGTTTTCTCTTTTGTATTCAGAGACAAAGAAGGCTTGGTTGGCTGTATACGAACTCTCCTTGACCGTGTGTGAGTGTGCGCAAGCAATACGTCTGCCACTTGTCCTAAACACCCTTCTAGCATTTCTTCGCCTTTCATTCTCGGATCCTCTTCTGTCCTTGACCGTATCAACTACATTGCGAGAGAAGGCGGTTTCACTGTCACAAGCAAACCATCCATTTGTCATATTTCTGTCGGAAAGCGACATTCTTGCTAAGCTTTCTGCTTCTGGCATAAGTTCATTCTCGAAGCAGCAGAACCAGGAGACAGATAATGTCGGAGAGGATGATCAGACCGGGCTTGAGGAAGTCAATTTACTAGAAGGTCTTTTGACTGGTAGTCTTTCATGCCATACCAATGTTATAGGTTCACTTACATGTTTTCTAGGATCCAACGTTACTCCCGGCTCGGAACCACTCTGGCTTCCATCCACTCGCTTGGGGAATGCCATGCGTCGAGAGCTATTCTCTCTCTTACCTGTGCAACCTTCATCTGCCCAACCACTTGCGTCAAGCCCTAAGCGTCCACCTAATGCCACTTTACGGAAATCATTTCGCAAAATTCTGCAGACAGTCTCTGGCTTCCGGGTGCGGATGCGAACCGTTTTTGTTCCCCACATCCTCTTTCCGGAAATGAATTCAAGGACGGGCTTCAATGACGATGATAGCGATGCGCAGGAACGAGAGGCAGGGAATAACGAACGTACTGTCGTTCTCTGTGTTGAAGTCGAGAATTCTGGAGAATCGGGCTTAGGTGTTGGTTTCTCAGTGGAAAAGGTAGATGTGAAAATCGGTGGCGAGGGTGCATCTGTCAAACTGATTGGTTGGGGAGAGGGTGCTTTTGAGGCTGAAGTGGAGACGCACACCTTCCCACTTCTGATCGGATCTATGGAACAGTACAATTTGTTATACGCCGTTTCATTCCTCAAGCCTTTAGCAGACTCAGATCTCTCGCTGGTCGGTCGGCGGTCTGGTACCGTCTCTGCAAACTCAGATCTTCAGCGGGCGGTAGCAATCAATATCTATGGCAAACCCTACTTGTCGAAGGCAGGTGGTGAGCATGACTCTGAGGACGGTGATGGTCCTACCCTGACCTACCCAACACATACATTTTCCTCTCGGTGGAACTGTATCCTGGATCTTTCTTCAAAACCACCGGAAGAACCTCTGGACTTCTCAGATCCTTCTAGTGGTGCTCGTAGTGTGTTACCAGAGCCTGCGTCTCCCTTCCCGGGGCAAGCCGCTTTGGCATCTGCGATCCCGAAAGCGCAATCTGTTATTGGGAACAAACGACATACCCTTCCCAACAATATCACAGCTATACGGGCTATTAACCCGAATGCTAACTTCCGCCCGATGCCATATCGTGACCAATCTTCCGCCTCACCAATCCTCTCTAACAAACAATACACTCCTCCCTCTGTCACTGTACAAAGTTTCTCAAAGTCTCCTTCCACTACATTCGGCATTCCACCTCCGACCATTCCCCTGTTAGGCGTTACTACACCCAATGGCGGCCCACATGGCCCATCAGAGTCTCAAACGTTCGTGACGCCGCCAACTCCTGCGTACCCTGCATTCCCTCCGGCTACTGCTCCAGCAACATCTCACTTCCAAACGCCACTGAGTAACCATCAAGGAGCCTCTGGGCCGAGTGTCGAAATCCGCAGGGAGCGTGGTCTCGGAATGACGGCAGCCATACCCCAAACCCCTGGACCAACCGTCGGCGGCGGCGCATTCGATCCCGCTCGAGATACCCCAGCTACTGGTGGAGAGCCCATCATCGTCTCCGTTGGCTTGCTCCCACCTCCTACAGGTTCCGCCGCATCCATGAAATTATATCCGTGCGATCAGTTCACGCTTGACATCTTCGTGTTCAATCAGAGCTCATGGACCAGAAGGTTCGAAATCAGCTGTCCGGATCCAGACCGTAGACGTAGACGGAAGATCGAGCAGGAGAAAGCCTCGCGGGGTGGCAAGACGACTATCAAGGAGTTACAGAGTGTGATGACGCCTCCTGGGATACTCCCATTGCAAAACCGCGTGCGAGTCGGGTATGTAGCATTTTGGGTGAGTTGTCGTGCTGTTATTTAATGATGTTTCTCGAAATTACAGGCCGCTGCGTCCATCTACCTGCCAGTCAGTCAGAATGGACTTCCTTGCAATGACTCCCGGTGTACATTCTCTTGAGATTCTTAGTCTCACGGATATTGAGACGGGTTTCTCTATGGATCTGAGGTGAGTTCACGTTAATTCGTCTTCTGAAGTTCTGCTTTGCGTGCTGAACAGTTGAGGTAGATCTGTATTAGATGTTGTCGTTCACGAGCACCATCAGATGTAATCCTTACATTCTACGCCGAGTGATCGGCAGATAAAAATCGAATCTGTAGCGAGACAGGGCATAAAACAAACAGCGTAAAATATACAAGAAGAGAGTGTGGCAGAAGGGTACAGAACATATATTAAGGTCGTCTTCCGAGGTAATCCGAGTCATTACAAGCATGACATAGGTGGGTTACACCCACTGAGACTTCTCCCAGGCCGGATCTTGCATAAATGCGCAGAGAACCTTACTACCGGTCTAAGAAGGCCGTCAGATTGTTTGTACGGTTCTTCTTATCTAGTCGCTTACCTGCAGGAGTGGGTGACCAGCAACGATGCTTAAGAATCGTTCCAGTCCCTCCCTTCGACTCTCAATGACTTCATCGGAGAATCTATTGGTGAAGACTTTGCCAGGGAGTGGAGGAATGTTGACACGAGTAGATTCGCGCTCCAGAATATCGCGGAATGCCTCGAAGTCGGAATAACGGCGCCGGACGAGAGAATGGCGCAGCTTAAATGCAGGAATGTTTGTCTACAGCACATAAGGATAAGAACTCGGGTGACTGGAACCGCGGTAGCAGTATGTTTCACCTTGCACACGATCTCGTAGTCGGTATACATCTTTCTGCCGAAACCTGTTATTCGATGGTAAGGAGGTAGGATCCCACAGAGCAAATTTTGTATTGCTCACCGTGTGTTTGAGGATTGCGAACTTCAATTTCTAAGAAGCTCTCAGGGACGCTGTACATTTCTTCAATCTGGGAAGCGCTTGCTTGTGTTTATGCAGCAGAAATGGGATGATAAAAGTAAGGTGGGCTTACGGTCTGCTCGCGCCCGCCGAGGCGGGGCTCGTCGAACGCGGTGCTGCGAGCAAATGGCGACACGCTGGTTGTCATGTCGTCGACGTTAACGTTGGTGCAGTTTCAGTGTGAACAGCACATCGTCACCCACGCAGCTGTCACAATTGGTCACATCTGAGTCACACGTTCGTACTACTTCCTTCTTGGACCGTCATCATATCTATGCCAGGACAAAAGTGCATTGTTCGCCGTGGTCATAAAGTCCCATCGACGTAAATGATAGCATAATACAAGATATTTGTATACGACTGGACCGACTACAGCCATATTTCCCATCATGACCCGATCTTTTCTCTCGGCAATAACTTCATTTTAGTATGCGCACTTCCGTGCTCTCTGCACGAGAAAGTATGAACATCTGAGGATAACCATATCATGAGATTGTGCTCACTCTCTAATTTACCCAGGCACGAGCACTCTGGAAAAGCCTGAACCACGGACTCGAACCATCCCACGAGTCCCCAAACGCGGGTGGATACCAACTACAACTCTCCAGTGCTACGACGCGTTCTGGATGGGGCATAAGACCCATTATTCTGCCGTCAATTGTCTGCACGCCAGTAATCCCATCGGGACTGCCATTCGGGTTCAATGGATAAACTTCTGTGGGTTCACCCGCAGAATCGACATATTGCAGTGCGACGAGGCCTGCTTTCTGCAGGGCTTCTCTCTGGGTATGGTCCGAAAACGACGCTCTTCCTTCTCCGTGAGCAACAGCAACAGGAAGCTTTGACCCAACCATGTCTCGCAAGAAGACGGAGGCCTTCGTCACTTCATTAGAAGTGACTTCGACCATGGATACACGACCCTCGAAGCGTTCAGAGGCGTTCTGCTTGAAGTCGGGCCAGTGGTCTGCGCCAGGAATGATCTCTCTCAAATGACTGAGCCATTGGCAACCATTGCAGACGCCGAGAGTGAACGTAGTTTTATCTGCGAAGAAGTGGGTAAACTCCTTCCTCGCTATGTCGTTCAAAAGTACTGAGTGGGCCCAGCCCTTTCCAGCGCCAAGCACGTCTCCATAGGAAAAGCCACCGCAAGCTGCTAGACCGCGGAAGCGCGAAAGTGAGAGTGCTCCAGAGAGAATATCAGACATGTGAACGTCCACGGCATCAAAACCTGCCGCCGTAAATGCCCAAGCCATTTCCACATGTCCGTTGACACCTTGCTCACGCAAGATGGCAACCTTTGGCCGCGATGAGAGACTTCGTGAGGGGGATGGTGTGTGCTCAAATGTGAGGTCATAAAATAAACCCTTGTGAGTGTGATCCTTGATGAGGTTGAATTCCTGCCGTGCTCCGATAGGGTTGTCACGCAGAGATTGCATGCGGTACGAAGTGTCGGCCCAGGCTTGTTGAACCTCCTGACGTGTGCTCGAAAATAGCACCTTGGATTCGTGATTGATGGCGAAAATTTGATCAGAAGGGTCGATGTTGACGCACCCAATGACATGGATGGAGGTGGAAGGGAAGCCGACGTCGACAAACTCGCTCATGAGCTTACTCAGGTGGGACTCGCGTACTTGAACGACAGCTCCTAACTCCTCATTGAATAGGGTCGCCACAGGGTCGAAAGCACTATGGAGAGTGTCAAGGGAGATTACAGCCCCTACTCGACCAGCGAAGCACATCTCCACCAAAGTTGTGAAGAGCCCTCCGTCGGAGCGATCGTGATATGCAAGGATCAAGTCGGGCTGATTCTTTTTGACCTTCTGGCACCCATCGAAGAACGTTTGAACTGTAAGAGGATTCTCGACGTCTGGCGCCTCTGAACCAATTTCCTTGAAAACCTGCGCAAGCGCCGATCCACCCATGCGCGTCTTGCCATGAGCAAGATCGAAGAAGACGAGCACAGTCGGTTCTTTCAGGTCTGTACGCAGCTGAGGCGTCCATGTTCGTTCGACGTTGTTCACCGGCGCGAACGCCGTGGCAATGAGAGACAACGGTGCACTAACTTCACGCTGCTCCTCTCCTTGCTTCCACTTCATCGACATTGACATTGAATCCTTGCCGACGGGGATGCCGACGCCCAGCGCAGGACAAAGTTCCATACCGACAGCGGCCACAGCAGCATACAACCCTGCACCTTCGCCTTCCTTAGAAGCAGCGCACATCCAGTTTGCACTGAGCTTGACGCGAGAAAGGCTGGAGACGGAAGCTGCAGCCAGGTTGGTGAGCGCCTCAGCGATAGCCATTCGAGCGGACGCAGATGGATTTAGCAGAGCTACAGGTGTTCGTTCACCCATTGCCATGGCTTCACCACTCAGGACATCAAAGCCATATGATGATCGAGTGACCGCAACGTCAGCAACTGGGACCTGCCACGGTCCAACCATTTGGTCGCGAGTCACCAAGCCTGTGATGGTTCTATCTCCAATTGTGATAAGGAAAGATTTTGACCCTACTGATGGAAGACGAAGAACGCGGTCCACTGCAAGGGACAGGCGGTTGGACAAGGTGGAGGAGTTCGGAAGATATTTCGAAAGGGAAGTATCAAAATTCCTAAATCCAATCTTTCGAGTGGTATCCTTGCGCGACATGCGAGGAGGCTTCCCGAAAAGTGTCGACATTTTGAGGTGAATGACATCTTGCGACAGGAGGCGGTCGGTGACGATGAGTTCTTCTTCCTCGGTCGCGACACCGACGATGGAGAATGGACACCGTTCCCTTTGGGCTATTTTCTCGAACTCGCTGGCCTTTTCTGCCGACACAGCAAGGACATAGCGTTCCTGACTTTCGTTGCACCATATCTCCATGGGAGACATAGAGCTGTCCGCGACAAGTACGTCCCTGATCTCAAACTTCGCGCCAAGTCCTGAGTCGTGAACCAGCTCTGGAAGTGCATTGGACAGTCCACCGGCGCCCACATCATGGATACTCTGGATAGGAGTACCCTCCCCCAAGCTAACGCAAGCGTCGATAACTTGCTGGCATCTCCTCTGCATCTCTGCATTCTCTCTCTGGACAGATGCAAAATCCAATTCCGCAGAGCTGGCGCCAGATACCTGACTAGATGCTGCGCCGCCACCTAAACCAATGAGCATACCTGGGCCACCCAGGACGATGATCTTCGCCCCTGGGGAAATCCGCATTTTCATCGCGAACTGTGGGCGGACGTTCCCGTATCCACCGGCGATCATGATTGGCTTGTGATAGCCTCTGATCTCCTGTGTTGATCCGTCCTCCGAGGCAGGGACAGATTCAGAGAACGTACGGAAGTAGCCTGCAAGGGCTGGACGACCGAACTCATTGTTGAAGGCACTCGCGCCCAAAGGGCCTTCGATCATGATGTCGAGGGCTGACGCGATGTGTGAGGGCCGACCAAAATCTGTCTCCCAAGGTTGCTCATAGCCGGGTATGAGAAGGTTGGAGACAGTGAAACCAGCTAGTCCAGCCTTAGGTTTCGATCCTCGGCCTACTGCTCCTTCATCTCGAATCTCCCCTCCTGAGCCCGTAGCTGCTCCTGGATAAGGAGAGACTGCAGTAGGATGGTTATGTGTCTCGACTTTGATGAGAATTGGCATGTTCTCGACAGAAGCTTGGTAAATATGTTCGGTAGAAGGACTATGTACGCCAAATCGAGGAGCTTGTGCGCCTTCAAGGACAGCTGCGTTATCAGAATACGCGGAGATTGTTCCCAGCGGACTGATTTTCTCTGTATTCCTGATCATCTGGAAAAGTGACCAGTCGAGAAGCGTCTCGTCTACTGTCCACGATGCGTTGAATATTTTGTGCCTGCAATGCTCCGAGTTCACTTGAGCAAACATGAACAACTCCGCGTCGGTGGGATTACGGTTGATTGGTGAGGATCCAGATACAAATGCTTCCACCAAGTAATCAATTTCATCTGCTGCAAGCGCGAGTCCCAGTGCTTTGTTCGCAGTCGAAAGCTTCTCGCGTGCAGCACCAGCATCGATTTCCTCCCCTTCACCTCTCAACTCCACAATCCGCAGGGGGCTTGGGGAGTGATGTTGAAAGACCACGCCCTCGAGAGGTAGAGACATATGAACGCTCTGCGTCATACGATCGTGAAGCAAATGGGACAGCACAGTCAGATCTTCCTTCCTAAGATCTTCATTGTTTGCCAGCTGGAAGACGAACACAATCCCGCGTTCGAGACGATCTATGTGTTGTGACAAGTTACATATACCAGCGATATCAGTCGCTTTGCTGGACCACGGTGATATAGAACCAGCTCTTGGTAGAACGTAGATGACATTGTGCCCGGAGTGAAGCGCTTCGGATGTCGATGGAAGTCTGATATCATCGCCGTAGTCCAGCAACAGATCAATAGCTTGTCTTTGTGACGATGCATTGTTAGCTAGGTCATTCTGTAGCGATTGGTTCGGAGACTTGACGAGGTGAATGTAGACTGCATCAACGGATATTACATCCGGTTTGATGGTTTTGATATGCTGGAGTAGTGCCTGGCGCTTCGACGAGGAGAGTGCAGACGAGCCTGGGAGGACGAGCATGCCTGCATGATGTCAGTGCTGCGTAAAATCCACTGTACTGGTTTTCTATCTCACCTCAGTCAGTTAAATTTCTCAACAGAGTTTGGACGAGTGATGACGAGATCTGCTCACTCCTGCAAAATTTCGAGTCATCCAGATCAATTTATATCGATATCTTATCTTATCTTATCGCAAAGCTTGTTGATATTTGGTTTTTATGAGTTCGCGATCTGCAGCGCGGCGAAGCCTCATCGATATTTCTGACATACTATCGTGTCAGCCAGGTTTTGCGTAACTGATGTATTTCTCCGGCACGATTATAGCGCGGCCATTGAAGCTCATCATTCTGAACAAAGTCTTACCGAGTAGCTGATGTGTTTTCTACGCCAAGAGCATCAAGTTGAATTACCCCCACTAGTACCGCACACACAAAAGGCGGGGCTCGTTAGGAATCCTACTTCAAGTTTTAAGCTTCAAGGCCCGCGCTCTCATTATGTGCAAATTCATTGTATCAGGATTCCTCAGGTCAAGAAACCTCCGCAGATCATCAGTGAACCGGTGAACAGATGAGAGGCATCTGTGCACTTGGCCCAACTCCGGCCCAAACACACTGCTATAGATATCACAAGTGCCAAAAAACAATAGCAGGTGCGCTTGGTGTCTTCCAATATGGTCTATGTCACGCCCTGACACAGGTAAAGATGTCCAACAGCAATTCGTGAACCAGTTTGAAGAGGGCTTTCAGATAAACGTCTTAGTTTCTAATGCTATGATGCATCGGACTATGTGATAGTACTCAAAGACTGAATGGCTGGTAAATGATGTACAGTGATCTTTTTTAGTCTATACTGTAGCGATTTAATTTTTTTTGCATAGGCTTCAAGTGAATTACTTATCAACAGCGCTATTGAACGTTCTCATGTTGCCTCATCTCATTGAAACCTCGGCACCTCAGTCTGCGTCGAGATTTGTCATTGTTTCAAACGAGCTCCATTACCTCGTGAATAGACTTTCAGGTGCCGACCGATGACCAAGCATTCTGGAGAAGCTCGATGACCCAGACTACTGCACTTCCTCGTAAGACCTATAAAATATACCTCTTTTCTTAACTGACAATGAGACAGGGTAACGAGAAATAGGTTCAACTTTTCAAAACGTGAGAGTCAAGTTACACATCCCATTTGTCATTGAACCTAATTCTTTGACCGATCCAAGTACTAGAAGTGATGTTTGTGTGCGAACTCAGCTCCCGACTACCTGTGTCAACACTTATAGCAGTCTCAGCTGTCAGTCCCATTTTTTTATTCCCATTTAATGCATTCTACCGAAACAAACAACCCCCTTCATAAGATTGGGTGTCGTAACCATGCAAACCTCACTCACACCGCGGAAATGCGGGGTCAAGTACTTGTCTACCCTGCCTGTTGACCCGGGTGAGAGCTCGCGACATGCCGTTACCTGTCTTGTTGTGAGCAGAAGGAGCAGAGCCATTATGTGATCAGTATGGAAGGAAGAGATTTTCAGACGCCTGTGGGTAGGCATTGCTCTATTTTATTTGATCGCTGTGGACCTTACTCATTATCATTATTACTATTCAGTTGGAGAATCGACGTCTTAAGTAAAGTCGATTCCAGGGTTCAGCGTATCGTCGACGAGCTAGTATTAATCGAGCGCGCTGTGCACTGATGCTGAGTATCAGATATTAGGTTGTGTGCCACGTTCGTTTATATCGACAATATCAGGTTGTGAAGCTTTATATTACTCAATGCTGTGTGTTTTTCTAAAGCACTGCTGCAGAGTATACCCGCATTTCCCAAATAACGTTGAGGCCATCTTCTATGAATCTCTAACGATCGGCACAGCTCTTGGATGTCGGCTGTCCCCTATCTCGTGGTCTGCCGCGAGGAAAGCTCGAGGCTCTCAGGATAATTGACCTTCAGCCCGCGGTTTCCACCTTGCTCTGCATCTTGTACACCTCAGTCCTATATTTCAGGCCCTGCCAACCCTTGCCCATATACAAGATGCCACATTTCCAGAGACAACAGTTCAGTTGGGCCAACTGCGAAGATCCTGATATTCTGGCTCTGACTGCTGCGACACAACTCGTGAGCACCATAGCCACACTTGATACCCGTCGATGACTTATGTGCAATAGCCGCCTGACAGGCCTGTCAGACATTACAGCGACATTACAGAACCGTCATGGCTACCACGCCTGAATTCCTTCAATTCTGGACATTCTGATTGTTCCAGTCACGACGCCTCAGAGCATGGGTCTTCCATGTTCGCGGACGATCATTATCGTGCCCACCACAGTCCTGCAGATGGGTTAGTCAGCTATGTGAGCTTGCGAATTTACATCATTGTCTTCTCAGTCATTCATTAATAACTTTCTGCAGCCCGACCTCGGACAGTCTCCTGAACAGCCCATGACATTTGGACGCTGGCTGCGTCTACTAGGACGACGTGCTTGTCGAGCAAGCGGGTATATTTGAATTGCCTTTGACTGAGTCTCTTGAATTAGAAATGTCCTCATTGAGTTGTACTTTAGAATTTTCTCCTCTCATCTTTCTGTTTCCTCCGGCCACTGTAGATGTATGTAGACGCCCTGCGGTTTACCAGTTACCACGCATTCTTCTTTCACGACCATGTTACGAATCGTTTTTTCTGTTGATACCTTATGATACCCCATCACTAGTATTCTCTACACAATTACTAAGACTCGACCACGTTTTTCCAGATGCTCGTTCACGTTCAAGTATCAAGAATTTTGCACTCCCCCTTTCCCCGACCTTTCTCCCACCTCGGTACTTCCATTTACTAGCTAGTATGCCTCACTGCATACATAACATGCAGAAGCAATCACTAACTGCAGTTACGGAGGACCCTCCGGCCATTAACTGATCCGGATTCCGGAAAGCTGTGTTCGGCTTTTGAAGAGGCCTCTTCCAGATCTCACTTAATGCGCCTCATCCTATGTACCGCAGTGCACCCAGTCAGATGACTCAGATCTGAGATCTGACTAGGACTGGTGACAATGTATTTTATCCTGAATATGCTGTAACACTGCTGCAACACGACTGTTACATGCCAACTCATGGCAAGCTAGTTTCTTCGAACGTGATATCAATCATATCAAAACTTCTACGCACGAAGGCCGCACTCTCGCAGTGGTAATTCACACTCACTGCAGGTTCTTAATATCATCGGATGTCATTTGACTCAGGGTAGTCTGAGTCCCAGCGATTAATAATGCAGAGTCAGTAGAATAGAGCTACATGTGTGAAATGAAGTGTGCTCCTCGATATCCAGAAGTACATGACATGCTACAGTTAAGGATGTATGAAAAGGAGAGCATGACATTAATGCACAGTGATAGGTATTAACGGCATCTGTGGTGCGTAGCGTACAAAAAGCAGAGCAAAGCATCATCTCCGATCGAGTCCAATGATAAGCGCTGTGTCAGAGTTACAATGCAAGGCCAGCAAGGGGGTTTGTTGTCCTTTTCGTCTGCGTTGGAGATACTGCGTAGGTGTCGTCGTCAAACGGAGTTGCAAACGGGTTTATGGTATTGCTGGACTTCCGCACGTGAGTAGTCGTGAGAAACCGTGTTACGGGGGCAACGGATTCTGGCGCAAGCCCCGGCTGGGGAGGGGCCATTGCGGGCTTCTTGTTGGCAGCGAGGAGCGCAGCTTGCACTTGTGACGGATAGAGCGTCAATGGAACAGTTGCATGCTGTGGGGGAGCCCGCTCGAAGGCGTGATGGAGCGGCATCGCAAGCGGGCTTGGTTCCTTGGTCTGCGGAAGAGTGAAGCCATATTCGTCGAATGGCTCAACGTCAGTGGGCACGCTGGCTTTCCTGCGCTGCTCTGGATGGAGCAGTGGTGAGAAGGATATAGAAGGAAGCACCGGGTTCTTAGCAGGAACTACGTTCTTTGTCCATGGCCGAGAAGGTGGAGTCGGTGAGACAGACCAAGCAGAGGAAGGCTCTTCTCGAGTTGGAGACCGCTCAATGTGTGGCAGGTCATCTGGCTTGAGTGAGGAAGCATGCGCGATCGAAATTGTCAATTGAGGTCTAGAAGACCTGCCTATCGGCCTATCGACGACAAATTCCTCAGCAGGAACAGTCTTCTTAGCAAAGAGGTTTGTCACGGGTTTGAACCAGTGCGACCTGGGTTGTTCATTTTCCACCTGTGGAAAGTCCTCTCTGTCCCCACCATCAACACTCTGCTTCCTCTTTCCAAGAGCCATCAAACGCATCAGTCTACTGATAGTGCGAGAGGGTGTTGACGGCTGCTGCTGCCGCTCAACTTTCGGCTCACCCCCCTCGTGGAAAAAACTATCCCAGCTTTTCTCAAACCGAGGTTCAAGCGATTTCAGCGGATGATTGGCAGACCGGCTGAACGGATTAAGGCTGAATGCTGAACGCGGCTCAGGAAGAGGCGTAAACGAACGAAGACCCATATCAGGCGTCTTTTCGCCCTTTTCCGAATCCTTGCTGATGTGAATGATGGACGGTGCGTTAGGAAAGGCTGCTATAATATCATCGTTGTGTTGCTCCTTGCGCCATTTACGCTTCTTGTACGCTTCAACCCAATTTCTCGCGTAGGAATGCCAGAAAACGATAGCGAGACCCATGACTACGACAACGCCCCAGAGAATGAGGAACAGGGCAAACATGATTCGTTCCTGCTTGAGAGAGTCCACGTATGTCGCCACAAGCCTTCCAATCAGGCCGCTTGAGTCACTTTGCCCGCCACCAAGCGCGGCGGTTGCAATTGGCTGAGTGATCTCATTAACATCAGACGACGAAAGCACCAAGACGGTCTCGTTGACAGTCGGAAGATCGACATTCAAGTTCTCGTTCAGGAACGTGAGTGCCTCTTCGAGTGCATTGACCTTCGAGCCGATAATGCACCGGACGAAGTCTTGCGCAGTGTTCTCCAAGATGGTCCCATTGAACACACTCGCGACGATATTCTGAACATCGGTGTAGAAGTTGTTCAGCGTCGTATTGAGTGTTGTTGTGGTGCCATTGACCCAGCCGAACAGACCGTCGTTGACAGAGGACTGAACAGTCTCAACACGTGCATTGATGCTACCAGCGTATGATGAGGACTGGTTATACATTGAACTGTTCACCTGCGCAAAGATCGTGCTGGAGAGATCCTGCACGCTTGCAGCCGCTTGTGCAGTGTACTTTGCTTCCAAAGGACCGACAGCAAGAAGCTGTACCTGAACGGAAAGTAGACCGAAGAAACCGATCAAGAAGCAGGCAAGTGCAGGCGCATGGAAAATGTAGTGCAGAAACCATCGTAGGTGAGTGTGCTGTGAAGGGGACATACGCAGTTTAGCTGAGAGGGTGTTGGCTATGCGAGTAAGCAAAGGATGTTGCGCGTCCGTCTGGAGCATGAGGAGATTGTGATTGGTGAGTGTGACAGAAGGGGCACTAGCGGAGTTGGTGTACACCGTGGTGGGGTCAGATACCCATGCTTCACGAGTGCGACGGAGGTGAGACTGCAAGCAGTGCCACTTGTACCACTCGAGGGCACAGTGTCCTGCTAGCAGGGCGAAGAGAATAAGGATCAATATAATGGTGCCAATCTTCGTAATCGTGAGGAGGTCATTTCCGAGATCGTCAATTGAGGAGGTGTCCAAATTGTTGCAAAATGAAACTGTGTTCTGAGCAGGGACAGGAAGAGTCGATACATCGAAGACAAGGCCTTGGAATGTGCTGTTGATATCAGACTTTACGGCTTCAAAAGGTGTATCGACGCTAATGCGGGTTAGTAGACGTAGATACTCATTTCATTGTAAGACATACAGAGATTCAATAGAGTTCTTGATCGACGACACAGTTGGCAGTGAATTGTTGAGCTGAATCAACGCATTCTCAAAATCCGTTGGGATAGTGATACTGGACAGAGAGTCCAGGCTCGAGACGTTGAATTGTGGCGCAGTGATTTTACTGAAAGGATTGACCTTGTTGAGCTCGTTGACGACGCTTGTAATGGCAGAGTTGAGCGAAGTGGCATCATTCTGCAAACCTGACACGATGGTGGTTATGGTGCTTTGCAAGAAAGAAGTGATCTAAGCCACCGTCAACAAAAATTCATCGGAAGACAAACTTTTCATACCTCTTGAACAGCAGCAATGAGAAGTGCAAGCCCACCCCCAACAATCAGCTCGAGGAAACATAAAAACGTGGAGCGGTAAATGTCAATAAGGAAATTGATGATCGCTTCCATGACAGTCAATGACAGAATCAGAGCTGCGCGCGCGTCATTCATGGTGCCATTGATAGTATCTGCGATTAACTGATTTGAGGCAATTGCCATATACCGCGGAGCACTGGCTGCAGCTGTAGCAGCTTGTTCTGCTGCTTGACATGCGATCAAGAAGTCACCCTTTGCATTAGCTACTGCAGTTTGGGCAGATTGGGATGATAGTTGGAGCCTGAATATCACGAAGATGAGTGAAAGAATTGGATATGCTAGCCAGGCTAGGGAAAGGATGTGAGGGAGTTGAAGGTAAGGTTTGAGAGTCGTGCTCGAAGTCTGTATTGTAGAATGAACGTTATAACCTGGCGGAGGCGTTATTCCTCTTTGAGTGCGAGAAGAGAAGGACATCTGGGATGATGATGGTCGACCTGCGACGTCGAATAAAACTCTGATTGCCAACTGGTGGCGGTCGTCAGTAGTGAAGAGAGAAAGATAAAATAACTAGCAAGAAAGAAAGCCCTGGAAGAAGCGCTGGAGTAACCCATTCTTTTTCTTTTTAGAGCCAAATTATCATTGTCCCGGCACGGTGTGTCCTCCGTATCCTCATTGTTCTTGAAAAGGACTGCGAAAGAGGACGAAGCACAATAAGAACTTCACAATTAGGTAACCTTGTTGATCGTCGGAGTTCGGAGTGTTTCCGTCGGCGGCAAATCCGCAAGTGAATTACGCTGCCGTACAGCTGGCAACCACAGCTTGTGTCAGACCTTCTGCACGGATCATCATTAGTTGTCTCACCGAAGACCCATCGTCACAGGGCTGATCGCACAGAATCTACTAGTGGCTACTGAAGGCCTGAAGTCATCACTACCTTCAAGTTCGACGAAAAGTAGCTCGGCTTATCGAGTTCCTCAGCCTGCAACCTTAATAGTATTTGTATTCGACTTGAAACCATCAAGTCGACTCTGACGGTCAATAACAAGTGTACAAAGGGTTTCCCCCATCTTTGCGGGCATCACTTGTGTCCGACTCCGTAACATGATACGTTGAAGCTTCACACTTACCATTCCGTGGACTCCAACCTATGAAATTTAGCTCTTTATTTGTCTTCCATGATGACTGCATTCAATGCTTAGTATCTTTCTTGTTCGCAAAGATTCCTGTCAGATCTACTAATTCTCTTTCTGTCTAAATATTCAATGGAGGGGCGAGCATCATCCACCCCTAAGGTCTGAGGCCTGGGGTGCGTCGCGCGTAATTTTTATCTCCTGTTGGCATTCGCACTCTCCCCTCTCGACATTTCTCGCGCACGCACCTGCTACCTTTTCCTCCCTACTAGTACGCATCGGCAGATACTACGTATGCCACTCATAGTCAGGTACTCGATATCATTCATACCACCCTCCCCGACGCTCGCGATGGGAACCTTGTTGCACCATTCCTTTCTCTTCGACTGTCCTCAGTACTGACCCAAATGTCATATTTTCGCCAACATAGTTCGACGTGACAAAAGCCGGCCTGCACATCCTTTGATTCATAAATGGCATAAGCCCTCTGTTAGTAAGTCCCACGCTGCCATGCTTATACACAACAGACACTACTACCGTAAACCTGTGTAGATCTCCACATACCCGCCCCATATACTCGCAACCGAAAGGAGAAACGCACTCTTGAGCGTCATTGACGAACAAGCAGAAATATACGCCAGAAGAGAAGGTACACTTCAATAATAGCCACTGACAAGCGCAGAACACGCCAGCTAGACAGTGACTGCCTACTCCACTGACCATCTTCCCTTCGCAGCCTTCCTTTTGTACCTACTACTTCACGTAGCAGAGTAGAGACGAGTTCGTTTTATCAATCAACTAGATTATGACGAGACGATGTCCAATATACAGTCTTCGTTCGCTTTCACACGAGTTAGGTTGCTTGATGCATAATACCGCCCAGCTTCTCCACTACATGAGTCATGATCCTGAGCGCCCCGGCTCAGCGGGCTGCGCAGCCGACTTTTCGTTTTAGAACAAAATTCAACAACCTAGTTACTAAGACAATCAACAAATCATCTTGTTTTCACCACACCATGAACGAGAGCCTTGTCTCAAAGTACAAAGACATCGTCACCTCCAGAGGATTGACTTATCACTATCTATCCTTGCCAGCTGTAGATGACAAACCCACTCTACTCTTTATCCATGGCTTTCCCTCGATTTCATACGATTGGTATCATCAAATCAACTACTTCTCCAAGAGGGGATTCGGAGTAGTAGCACCTGACATGCTCGGGTACGGCGGCACGTCTAAACCCACAGATATGTCCTTCTTTCTGCACACCGCAATCGCACAAGACTTGCTCGACATTCTTGATGCCGAGAAAGTCCAAAAAGCCATAGCCGTTGGACATGACTGGTAAGATATAACTGAACGCGCACCAGCCAAATTCAGAACTGTCATCAGGGGCGCTCCCATAATCTCCGTCCTGTCAATGAAACACTCTGACCGGTTTTTGGGTTTCGCGTGGGTTGTGGTCACATACCAAATATACGCCCCCTGCCCTCCCATTGATGTTATTTTGGAGATGAATATCAAGACATTTGGCCGGCCACTTATGGGGTACTGGAAGTTTTTCGAACAAGAAAGCGCTCCTCAAATCATCGAGAAGAACGTGAGTGTTTGACCAACGTTCTGATCTCTTGTTACTAATAAGACTCAAAGCTGGAATCTTTGATTTCCGTGCTTTATCCGGATGACCCAGATAATTGGCTGACTCTGATGAATCAACCCGGGGAGATACAAGCTTTCGTCGAAAATGGAAAAACAACAAAGAGAGCCAGTTATCTCACAGACGAGGTGTTTCTTATTACTCTGTCAGGCTTGTCAGAAATTGACTGTCTGTAAAATATAGCACCACTCACGCTTGTTGGAGTCACTAAGAGGAGGTGGGTTAACAAGTGCCCTGAACTGGTACCGGTCCACGCTCGGTGGTGTTAATTCCCGCATTATGGAAGGTGAGACACGATGTCCAACTCGTTACTCGATATTGCATCATCTGATCTCATTTTGCTGCGGTAACAGAAATACCAGAAGAAAATCAGTTTATCAAGAAACCCGCGTTCTTCGCGGTCGCAAGAAAAGACCACGTATGCGTGTATGATTACGCCGTGCCACAAATGAAGAAATACGCGACGGGAGGTCTCCATATGGTAGAGTTTCAAGGCGGACACTGGGTTCAATTGGAGGAACCGGAAACTTTCAACAGAGAGCTGGAGGGTTGGATTCGCGATACGTTGCAACAAAATTGTTGAGCGTAGGCGGGTTGGTCACGAATACTCACGAACATCAGTTGTACATCACCGACTCACAATCTACCTGAGTCCAACTCTCTCTCTCAAGACGTTGTGAATTACTAGTGTGAATTTTAGTTTGTGCATGACCGCAGCGGGGACGAAGACAACGTCGCCAGAATTGAACTGGCCACACGTTCGAGTTCATCCAGATGTGCACGTTTGTCGAGGAACGAATCGATACTTATTGACGCTATCGCGGAATCTGCAAAATCAAGACAGGTGATTGTTTTGGTGACCGGCGTAGCTTGCACATGGTCAACTGATAAGTGAGATGGTGTAATCTAATGAGACAACAAACAACAGTAAGTTTGATGTAGATGTATAACACAAGAACTGAGATGGGCTGCAAGGCCGATGTATCCGAGCTAATACCTGTTGTTATCCAATCCAGATGTCGGATTGCAGGTAAATGACGGTATATGGGAGATGTATATGATAACGCGATGAAGCGTGGAAAGCCATTGTCGATGAATATTTGTCGATCAAGACCTATCATCAGTCAGCGTACAGTCATTATCACCACGAATCGGACTGGAGGAGAAAAGGGGTGCGGCAAGAATACAAAATCACGCACATTTTGTAATCTACTGTTGTCTCCTCATCCTCGTCCCCGACTGCATACGAAATGGAAATGTCAAGATCGCGGTTATTCCGAGCGTTCGGTGCGCAATCGAGACTGCCAGTAATTTCCTGCCCTTCTTTGATAGTGATTGTCGAGGGAGTATAGAACACTGTTTGCCTGTTTCGAAGAGGTAAATACCTGAAGAACAGAAAGTTGGATGGCAAACGTACTTCCAGTGCGTGTATTGCGCATGAGGACCAGTTGAAAACTTGACTTTCTTATGTGTACAATCGAAAACGATGTCGAACCAAGCAAGGAATGCATGGATATCTAAAGTAGCGCGTATGAATGGTGCAATTATACCTAACACGATCACACTCACAGTCATCGCGTGTAGCAACAAGTTTAAAGGGTGCTGTGAAAGTCAGGTCCTCCTTTGTTGCTGTCAAGAGGTCGATTTCCTGAATGGAGTCAGACAAGTATCATCAATGAATTGACGGCAACAAACTTTGATAACACAGGGATCGGTTACAACCGCTTTGAGTTCAACGGTATCCACCAAAGGTTCGCGGAGCGCGATGTCTTTGATACACGAGTAGTCAAAGCCATACACATTATCCCAAACTACAAATAATGTTCTCAGCCAGGCGCGCGTATACCACAAACATACGTACAGTTGATCTTCTCCTCTTTGTAGTCCTGATCTTCAATGGCAGCAAAAAGTAATCTTGCGGTGTCCGGGAATATTAATCCGTCCGACTTGAGGTATTTGTCTCTTGCAAGTAAGACCGTGTCTAACATAGATTCGTAGAGAAGGAAATAACCCATCCACTCTGAAATGATGATATCGAACTTATCGATAGGAAGCTCGGCTTCCTCGAGTTTTCCCTTGACGAGGGTAATTGCTAGTGTATTATTACTAAAGATGGTATCAGCAGCATGCAGTCAGACGTACTGTCTTTGAAGCCGTTGGCTTCTATGATCTTTTGAGCTTGATCGATAATATTCGACATGTCGATCTTTAAAAGGCATGCAGGAAATGATACGAGCGAGTGGGCATGTGGTACTTACACCAACTACATGTGAAGCACCCGCTTTTGCAGCGAACATACTCAAGATACCAGTCCCGCAACCAACATCTAGGACTGTTTTACCCTTGAAAAGGTGACTGTTGTTTATGATCGCAGAACGATAGGATCCTGTCCGGACAGTGTCCTTGAGCATTTCCTCGTGAATACCTGTCAGAATATGTCAAACTAACAATAACTCGACCAGACGGATCAACGAACCAAAATGCGCGTATGAATCCGCATAACTGGAAAAAGGGAAGCAAAATTAGGTATTAGAATTTCCTTGAGAATATATGCGCAAATGTGCGAACTAGTCTCTGGAGGTCATCGAGTCCGATGTAACATCGGGGGCGATATGATGGGTCGACGTAACATCGGAGGCGATATGGTGGGTCGATGGTCCTGCACTTTCCATCTTCAATCGAAGCAGTTGGGTGAAGTTGTAAAGCACAAAGGAATACAGGCAGCAGATAAAAATTTGCCGGTTCTCACGGTAGCTAGAATCCCAGGTTCTGAACGTTGACCCGTGAGAACAAATTCTCATAAAACTATACAGTTGAGATGCTTACAACAATCAAAGCCCGGATTCATGAGTCATGACCCAAAGATAATAAAGGTAAAGGTCACTTGCTTTTCAAAGAACTTTTACATAACATGTTTCTCGATGCAGCCCCCTCCCCTCGAGTGGATATACTACGTTGCCGAGTCTCGACTAATTCGAAATTTTAATCGGACACCGCTTTCTAATAATGGACGCGACGATCAGAACAAACAACGGAAAACAAATTCTATGTCGGCTGACGTGATCGGTCGCTTAACGTGACAGACAGTGCCCCCCTGCTTATGCGCCGCAGTGCGCAGCTTTCGAACTCGTACAAAAGCCACGTAGCGGACCTTATCGATGATAATCGATCCTCAGTTAAAAATGGTGAGTCTCTGTCGAACATATATAAATTCGTTGTCTCTGTTGTTAATGAACCCTCAGGTAATCAAGCATAGTGCAGAATCTGCAGATAGCCCACCTTCCTACGACTATGTCGCAGCTCAGGCTACTTCAAGTCTGTCATCACATTTGTTTTATCCTAGATTATCAATTGTTTACCATGATTTCAGATGTTGGAGAACAACAACCACCTTTGATGAATGACAAGAATGCGAACCAACAAGTGCAGCTGCCTTCAATACCTCCTCACACTGTGATGGCTGTTCACTCTCGTCCTGCGCCTCTGGTGCAGCAACCCATAGTCTACCATTATCAGAATCCCTTGACTGGCGAGCGCATCGCCTCGCTACTGCCCCCAGACCACCCAGAAATGATATGTTTGCAACAAGGGGCACATGTCAACGAAACCAAGTTTGGCATTCTAGGTAGGGAATATCACATGCTCACAGGCAAGCAGTTGACTCATACCTTTCTTTAGGAATTTTGGCTGCAATCGTTTGGTTCCCGTTGGGCATTGGCCTTTGCCTTCTTGACCGGAGGGTCAAGTGCAAGCGCTGCGGGGCGGTCATAGACAACGGTATTTGTGGTTAATCAGTATTGCATTCCTTCAGTCTTCTTCCTTCATGTTCTTTGGACGCCTGCAACGCACAGTCATGTTCTCCTTGTTATTCAACGTTTTCATCTCTATATCCCCGATTTCCGCAGTGTTCCTAACTTAATGTATAGCTGTAGTATCTAAATTACAATTTGACGGACAGATATGCATTAGATACCAATTCCAACTTTTCTAAACAAGTAGATGATGGGAGCCTATCGTTGGTACTGCAATTCTTCTGACGACAGGGCCTGAAGGTCATTGCCACAGCATCAAGTTGGACTAGCTTCTAGACATAATATTGATCACGATGTTCACCTTCCTAGCTACATCCTTTAAGGCATGCGACCACAGGCCTGTATAGTGCTTGCGTCTTCGAGACTTTGAAATTTAAACCACAATATCCACACACGCTTGAAAAATGTTCCGGAGTCCCTAGCCTCGCAATATTAATGTTGAGAACCGAGCAAAAGAAAAAAGGAGGGGCCTTGCTGGGAATCGAACCCAGGCCACTTGCAATTGTGAAACACCCAAAGCAAGTATCGTACCTCTAGACTACAAGGCCTTGAGATACGTGCGCGTTTGCATACCCTTGACGAGGCTGATCACTCTTTGCCATGTGGTCACCTGTCCATGCGGTGTCACGGTGCGCAGTTTGACATCAACGTCGACATGCCGCGCACGATCCACGCGATGAACCTCCTCTAACAGAGCTCACATCCGAATCCGAATCATTAGTCCTTCCTGGCTTGTCACTGACTCACTAGGGTGCTCTACTTCCTCTCCGATGCAGACACTCGTTGGACGTCGATCTTCTCGATAGTTCAGGCTTATATATCATCCAAACCCCGGGCCGCCGGGGCCAAAATGCTGCCTCCCGACATTTCAATCGAGGAAGAATGTAACTTTATCCTGTGAAACTGGGAAGATGTGATTCGCGAAACCTAACAGAGCGAAGGTATGGTGGAAATTCAAGCAGTGAGGCTTGCCAAGGATATTTGTCAGTATGTGCCAGTCGTCCTCAAGCTAGGGGCTCTCAAACATATTGTTCCCAGACGGCTTTGATAATCTACACGCTATGTGACGCTGAAAATCTGCACCGATAAACATGTCCCATGATGCCGCATCTGCTTCATATCGGCTACAGATGTCAAGCCCGTTGTCGATTAGTTCGAGTCTAATTAACTGTCTAAAGCTTAAAGGCCCGTACGGAAACCACAAATGCCTCATCTACGAACCCATGCGGGAACCCATCTAGTTGCTTGAAATTCGTCGTTTGATTAAGCTAAACGATATCTGTCCGATTGTATGGACGCTCATTTTTTTTTCTGGCTTAAACTATATCCATGCTGAGAGTCACGTCGTCTACACCGGCGATTCTGATTAATTGTTAGTATTCCTTATTCAAATCGAAGATATCACGATATACTGGTTGGGCTCGGGAGTCTGTCTGTGTTTCATCGCTGACATCCATATCGATATCGGACGGTCGGCAGCGATGAAGCAGATAGCCTTCGATCCAGAAGGTTCTCGTCGACCGTACTATGTGTCTTGTTAGAGATGATTTTGAACCCTTGAAAACAAGCCTGAAAAACCAGCGTTTACAGATTTCGGAGTTCAGGGATGCTTCGTACCCTCTTGGACAACACCCATTATAGCTCGACGGACACCATGCCCCAGAAGTTGCACTTGGCGCGCCTTGGACATACAACGTGATATCTGGAATTTGGGTTTGACGTTGAGGTTGGAAATCAGCGGTATGGAACTGACATCGCTGGGTCGCAGACATGGAACCTAATCAAAGATAAAGACCACGCGATGGAATTGATCCTGAAGGTACAGGGCTGCGCATCTTGGTCAGCTCATTGGATTTGTCGACTATCCACCCAAGGTGTTACTTATGGCCCTTTTTTTGAATCTGATGGCAAGTTGTAATGAAAAACATTGCCATATCTGCTAATGGTGTGCCAGGATGCCCAAGCCTCATCGCACAAGACGTCACCTTGGCAGATTCTGTAGAGAGACTGGAAGGTGAAGGTACGAAGCTGTTGCTTGAGTTAAATGCTGCAGTATATCCCAGAGAAAAGGACTGTAGCAAAGGAGTTGCTCGAAGACCCTTGGTCTGGACGGTCCATTTGATTGCTACGGGTTACTAGGTTGGAACTTGGCAGGTGTCGTCGTGCTCAGTAGTAGTTTGATCTTTTCCATACTTGTATCTATTCAGTTCAAGGGTCAGAAGAAGTATGCATGATGTGGTCTGAATTTTCTCACTGCTCATCGACATCGCCTGACCACTGTGCTGTCGTTATCGTTTGATTGCACTCAACGTCGAGATTCGAGAACAAATAATGAATTCAAAACCGCCTCCGAGTTGTGAAGCTTACTAAGCTACTGCAAGAGGAATTGCACTTCATTGCGAACACTTCTACGGTAGTACTTGTTGAATCCTGTCCACCACCAGCCATGGTTCGAATTATCATCAAAGGAGGCAAGTGAATTTATCCATGCTTTTTGACGCGTATTAATTGTAAATGAACCAGGTGTTTGGAAGGTATATTGCAACCTCGGTCTGAGTATCACCGGAATCCGAATCTGACACACTCATCCAGAACACGGAGGACGAAGTTCTCAAGGCTGCGATAGCGAAGTATGGGAAGAATCAATGGTGAGTTGTCCATTCATAATTAGCTGCCCTGCTCTAGTACTGAGCATCACCAGGGCGCGTATATCGTCGTTGCTGGTCCGCAAGACCCCCAAACAATGTAAAGCGCGGTGGTATGAGTGGCTAGATCCGTCTATCAAGAAGACGGAATGGTCAAAGGTATGTGTCGCAGACCCCTGTTTTGGTACTGAAACCTGCAATGTACTACTTAGACCGAGGATGAAAAGTTGATGCACCTCGCAAAAATTATGCCCACGCAATGGCGGACAATAGCCCCCGCAGTGGGTCGTACTGCTACACAATGTCTTGAGCGATATCAGAAGTTGTTGGATGAGGCAGAGGCGAAGGAAAACGAGGAGCTAGGACTGGCGGGACCAGGGGGAGAGTCAGCACCGAGTGCAGACGACATCAGGCGCCTGCGACCAGGAGAGATTGACCCCGACCCTGAAACTAAGCCTGCACGTCCTGATCCTATTGACATGGACGAAGATGGCAGGTTTCCTTCTTTCCAGGAGGCGGGTTTTTACTGACTCTGCATACAGAGAAGGAAATGTTATCCGAAGCCCGTGCTCGTCTCGCAAATACACAGGGCAAGAAAGCTAAGCGAAAGGCTCGTGAACGCCAGCTCGAAGAAGCAAGACGACTTGCAGTCTTACAGAAGAAGCGTGAGCTGAAGGCTGCTGGAATCATGTGCGTCAATCTATTTACTTTGCGCTATGACCCTCCTCATGTGATATGCTTTAGTATGCGACATAAAACGAAAAATAAGGGTATGGACTACAATGCTGACATTCCCTTTGAAAAGAAGCCGGCAGCGGGCTTCTACGACACGTCGGAAGAACAGGCACGCATTACCTCTGCGCCAGTCGGCCAATCACTCCGCCGTCTAGAAAACAAACGCAAACCTGACGAAGAAGAGGCTGAACGAAGGAAGCGACAACGTCGGGCAGCAGAGGCTAAGGGTGAAAACGATGGCCACCAAACAAAATTCATTGCTGCTCGTGATGCACAGATACAGAAGTTGAAAGAGGCAGAGAGCATTGGCCGGCGACGGAAGCTTGTGTTGCCGAACGCGCAGGTTGGTGAGGCGGAGCTAGAAGACATCGTCAAGATCGGGCAGACAGGGGAGAATGCCAAGGCATTGGTCGGTGGCGGAAGCGAGGCAACTGCGAAGCTCTTGAGTGACTATGAGGGCCTGGAGGGCGCAAGGATGGCACGAACACCTCGTACTGCACCCCAACGTGAGCTTTTTTTAGTACTCACTTCCATCGCAGCGACTGAGCTATATCATAGAGGACAATGTCATGTTGGAAGCACGCAATTTACGGAACATGACCATGGCCCAGACACCTTTGTTGGGAGATGAGAACACCCCCCTTCATGTTGGGCCGGGGGGAGGAACTGGTTTCGAGAGCGCAACTCCTCGGCATCAAGTTGCTTTTACCCCAAATCCTCTCGCAACTCCTATGCATGGCGGTCCAGGTGACGTTTCTGCGACGCCGCGAGATGGTGCATCGTGGGGCGCAACCCCACTGCGGACGCCTATGCGTGATACCCTCAGCATCAATCCCGCTACGGGTATGCCAGTGGGCGAGACACCACGCGACCTCCGGTTGCGTACCGACTCCGCCAAGCGTGCTTTGAAGGCCGGATTCATGAGTCTTCCAAAGCCCGAGAACAACTTCGAGCTTTTGGTTCCGGAAGATGAAGATGAAGAGGATGGTACCGCTGGTCCGCTGTCAGAGGAAGATGCTGCTGAAAGGGATGCACGCTTAAAGCGGATACGTGAAGAGGAGGAGAGAAAAGCCTTAGCAAGACGAACACAGGTTGTTGCCCGTGGCCTGCCTCGTCCTGCACGGGTCGACGTGGAGCAGCTGATGAGAGACTTGAACATTGGGGAAGAAGATGACGACATGGCGGAGGTCAGAAAACTTCTAAATTCGGAGATTGCGGATCTCCTACTGCACGACTCGATAGTGCATCCTCTCCCTGGCACGAATATTGCTGGTGGCACGCCATCGACTTATCAGATACCGCCAGATGATGACCTCGCTGCTGCTAAGGCTCAGATTCATCTTGAACTTGCTTCCTCAATTGGCTTCCCTGATGCCAACGAAACCCAAGTGAAGGAGGGACTGGCAACGCTGTCAAGCAGCGAAGAGATTGATGAGAGTGCGTGTTGGGCAAGCATCCGTCAGCAGCTTGCTTTCGATGCCGCCTCGAGAACATGGGTAGAACCCAGTAGCCTATCCGCGGAGGCTAGAATAGCCGGTTATACCGCACTGCTCGAGGAGAATCGTGGAGAGATGTCAAAAGAGGCCAGCAAAGCTGCCAAGGCTGAGAAGAAGCTTGACATCACCCTTGGTGGATATCAAGCACGTTCAAAAGCTCTTTCCAAACGTGTTACTGAAGCTTTCAATGAGCTCGTGCGAACAAAAGTGGACTATGAGAGCTTCGCTCGACTCAGCATCAATGAGGCGGCAGCTGGACCACGGAGATTAGAGTCGCTGAAAGAGGAGGTGGATACTCTATCACGAAGAGAGCGTCTGCTGCAGGAGCGGTACGCAGAGCTTGACCGCGAGCGTCGGGATGCAGAATCCAGGGTTGCTGTACTGGAGGAGAAAATCATGGCGGAGGCAGAGGCGCTCAATGAAGTAGCTCTCGCTGAGATGGAAGCAAGCGGATGATTCATTCTCAAGTGTTTTTATGCAACTATGTATCATTCTGCTTTTACACTATAGTACTTACTGCAACAGCGTTGGCACAGGCCCTTGACTCGCTTATTCCTGAGTCCATTGAATTAAACGCAAACTAGTTTTTTGTATACGCCCCCTCGCGCTGTGCTGTGCCGTGCGTCATTGCGTTAATGCACATGATACACAAAAAGGTTGTTAGATATCGTCACATGAGTTTATACATATTTAAATCCAAAGACAGTCATTTACCGTCATCTAGGATTGGTCCAAAGCTAACTTGAGGGTCACGATGGTGATTGTATGAGGTCGCCCAGTGTACCCGAGCATCCTGCACATCTCACTTAATCAGCTCTGCGAAATGCCGGGCAAACACACGAGTGTCCTTTAGTATCTTTTAGAGCTATGCTCGCATACTATCATGAACCACTGCAGGCTCAGAAACTTGCTATGCCTCCAACTCTTAAATTTTTCCAACGGCTCTGCTTGGGATTGCGTAGTAGCAAGCTCACAGGACGCCTGGTACATTGTCATCCTGAATTTGATATCGTCACTGACGGACCTTGATACATACATACAAGTCTAATAACAACCTACAGAATGTCAAGGACACATCATCTCGTCTGCAATTTACCCCAAAGTCAGCACATATAAATAGTTTCGTTTGTCTGTTAAATACATGCTCGTTAATAAACCTGCAATTGTTGCTGACTGGTTGAGTGCTCACACTTGTAAATATCGGTCCTTGAAATTCCTTTTCTGGTGGGTCAGCTTGTGATTGCGTAGCCCCGGTGTTGAACACAATCGTGCTCTGATACAGAATTCTAATTTACGCAACTATTTAAATGCATGGTGCTCACCGAAGTACATGAACAGCTCTGAGTATCACTTGTTGAGAACCTGTCCCGAAGGAGCGACCGACGGTTCAATCTGTATGACATCGGTAAGTTTCGTTGTCGGTTTATTATCTGTCCGTTTGACAACTAACGAGGCCAACAAGGTATTCCCTACGACTGCACAATATATGAGTCAATATATTTAATGTGAATTATTTCGTATCATTACCATTAGGCCACAGCAACCATAACCCGATCCCCGAATCTGCACCGTTTCAGCCGTGGTAGAATATGGGGTATCAGCCCACTCACAATTCGGCTGCTTCAGGGCTGGAAGCTTGGGAGACTGGTTAGAGAATGTTCTATTGAGAGGAAATATCGATGACGAAGCACTCACCAATGTTGCCAATGTAAGGGCCACCAAACTAATCATCATCAATCAAAAAACTTGTAAGCCATAATGAAAGCCAAATACCTAGTGACTAAACCAGTTTCTGTGTAGAGATGATGTTAGGAGGAGAATAATCCGATGGAGGCGTTTCCTAATGTCTCACCGATTGTCCATTTAAATAACTGGTCGATAATCGTAACCGTGCTATGGTAGACGTAAGAAACAGCAACTTCGGGCAAAATGATAGATAGCCATACTCTTCAATCTCAGGATATCGTCTCTTTTTCAAACCCCAGGCGATTCCAGCGGTGGTAATCAAGTCACAGGTTGCACGTGCAATGAAAGTGAGCTCAATCAGCAGCAATTGATTATGTTGAAAATCTGCGATGTTCGTCATGGAAATTGCCCTGGCTGCGAGAACGCATGTGGAGGTTTGTGCAATCACTGAGAGAATTTGGCAAAGAATGAGCAAGAAGACATTTCTAGACAACTTCCAAAGTCGAAAAGCGTAGAATGACTAATATTAATAGCAAACACTCAATAACGAATATATACATCTAGAAATTACTTACCTGTACAATGACAACTGTGAAACCGCTCAATGGAATGGCGACATCTGTCGCTATAGGAAGCACCGCGAGTTGAGATGGGTCACCATAGGTGCTGACAGTCATTGTCCACAACATCGATATTATACAAACAAAGTGGCCCAGCTGAATCAAGCTGCAAAATTTGTGTTGGTATTCGGAGGAATCAAGTCAAGAATTGTGCGCACATGACTGCAGATACCTAATCGTATGGAGCGATCAATCAAATCAACGATGAATTGGATAGTTGATGGACTTACAGTTGCTTTCAGGGCGAGATGATCGTCCCTGAATCTGACAAAATACAAGTAGGACTGGCAGCCAAGGCAGCCAAATAACGCAGCGCTCAACATTCCACAGACTTGGATCGGTCCGATGACTAGCTCTGCATTGAAATCGCTTGCTCGTTTGAAGCTATTCATTGTGCCTATACTAAGTTTTGCAAGGTTATAAGAATGGTGTGATCATTTAGATTCGTCTGGCTTACTACGAAAGCGTTAATTAGTTTGGGACACGAGGGACGGCCGAAAGTTGCCTCCACCAGGGCTGAAGAAAATGGAGAAATGTAGCTCCTCCATGGGAGATCAGTACGGATTGATATAGCACCAGTAAAACACTGGCAATTCATGTAAAAGAAACACAGCCTTCGCTGCGTAGTAATGAATCTGATGGACTTGACTTGGTTGCAGTGTGATATAAACTTAGCCGCATCATGAATCTGACAACAATCACTGCGGAAACTAGTCAGACCAGATTAGGTGTGTAGGGACAGACCACATACACGGAATATTTGCCATCTTGCAATTGATCGACTCGGACTCACATGATTGCTTTAGAGGTGCCGGTAATTGCTCGTGAAATGATCTTGCAAAATACAAGATGACGGGCCCAGGCGGAAGTAAATAATTATAAACAAAGTTCCCTGGTACTTCCGTACCAATTATGAGGAGGTCTACGTTGTTCCAAAGTACACCAACTTGAATAATTGTCAAGCAGCTACAACGGGATTCCGGTTTGAAGAGAGGAATACAGATGCCAAATCTCCGAAGGGAGATGTGAGAAGGTTAAAGCGCAATATCGGCAATTTCGGGGGAAGGCTCATCAGGAAAAACCCCCTTTTCGTATTGGGGACAATTTGAGCAGATTATATCCTAGAAAATCATGCACCATTTTATTGAATGTGCATCAAAAAGATCCGATCTTCGACAATTATTAATTCCCTAGCGCAGTCAGTGCAATAAGGTCCATAGGACTCTTATTCACCAACCCGTTGGCCTATAATTTCGTGGATCTCCAATTCTACCAGCCTTATATACTCATTTGCCTTACAAATGTTATTTCATCACTTGATCATCATCCCACTTGGTGGAATCTGATAGAACTGATCCAGATAGATCTTTCACAACCTGACTTGTCAGCACAATGTATCCACAATCTGTGTATTTCACATTTGCGATATGCTCAGAGCTCGAGGTCTGGATTGTTTTCCTGAACATTGTTGTATATCCTCGGTGCACGTAGAATGAGTTAGGTAAAGACGCTTCGGGCCATGAAATCATCGAAAGATTCGTAGTGAGTGGGCCAGGTTTCAAAGTGCCTGTAGTGTAGCTGAACCCCCATTCTGGGCCTGCTGGGGTCACTCCCCAGGACATTCGGTGACTTGAATTTCGTCTGATGACGGTGATGATAGTGACTGAATCACACTTGCAGTCCGAGTCCCGGTATCAAAAGATAGTGTGGGCTCTGTCAAGTATGTCACGGTAAGCAGGATGAGTTCTGTGCTGATCAAGTATTCGAGTTGACAGTGAGCCAGTGAGCACACGTGTGTTGTGTTCAAGTTTAAGTTGTTGCCGTGTAATAGTAGTGCTAAAACGGGACGTTCGGTTCGTATAGCCATATAACTTACCCAAAGTGACCTGATGCTCCTCAGCAAGCATATCCAAGAGCATCCACATTAACATTCATTCAACCATATTAGTGTACTGTAAATATCCTTCAAGTGTACATTACCCACAGACTCAGCATATCTCGTGGATCCATCGTTATGGACGGACACATGCCTAATGTGAATTACACCGTCCAACAGTCAGTAAGGAGTCTTGTCGTCTGCGTATGACCACTGCAGGCTTTTAAACCTGCCCGTATTCCTCGTCGGTTGGGCCTGCTGCTTGGAACATTTCAACGTTGAGGTTCCTGGAGTTCTCCAGTGGGTCTACTTGTAATTGCATAGCTCCGGCTTTGAAGATAATCGTGTTCTGAAACAGAATTAGAATCACCATGCAGGAATTCAGAAGGCACTCACTATACCACCACAACTCCGGGCACTACCTCTTGGAGCCCTCCAATTTTCGCGAAGGAGTAACCGCCGATTTAACCTGAATGTCACATCGGTAAGTTCATCGTTTTTATTATGTGTCGAGTCCGTTTAGCGACTGACGAGGCTAACAAGGAGTTCCCCACAACTGCACAATACGTGGGTCAATATATTAAATTTTGAGGTAGTTCATATCATTACCGTTAGGCCAGATCAACCACACTGCAAACCACACATCTACGTCATTTCAGCTGCAGTAGGATGCAGAGTACCAACATGCTCACAGCTCTGCGGCACGACCAGAAACTTGAAGCTAGTTAAAGAACGCTCCAGATGATATAGATAGTGAAGCTCTTACCCACGTTGCCAATGCAATGGCCATTAAACTGACGAATCATTGACGCAAACACTTTGTAAGCCATACAAGAATCAAATACCTGGTGATCAGTCCAGTTTCTGTGTAGAGGCGACGTTAAAAGGCACATCTATCTGATTAAGACGCTGCCTATCTTACCAATTGTCCAACGAATCAACCGGTCAATCATCGTCGCCGTGCTATGAAGCATGACAGATGTAAGCTGACGCGAGAAATGAGTGTTGAACAGTCATACTCCTTGATACCATGGCATCGTTCTTTTCTTAAACTGAAGGCGGTGACAGCGGTGGTGACCATGTCACAGGTTGCACGTACGATGAAAAGAATCGCAATCAGTAAAAATTGAAGGTCTCCAAAAGTCATGAGGTCCGTCGTTGAGGTCGCCGTTACTGCGAGGATGAGTGTCAAAATCTGTGCACCCACGGCGAGCACCCCGCAAAAAATGGGTATTACAACATTTCTTGTGAACTTCCAAAGTCGAAATACGTAAAACGACTGATATTACCCGTAAACACAAGTAATGAAAATACCAAGTCAGAAATCACTTGCCTGCACAATGAATGCCGTGAATCCACTCAATGAAATAGCCAGGTTTACTGCTACGTGAAGCGCCATGAGTTGAGAGGGATCACAATAACTGTTGACAGTCATTGTCCATAATGTTGATATTATGCAGACGAAGTGACCCAGCTGAAGCAAGCTATAAAACACATCGATATTTAAACAATGAAGGAACCAAATCAAACATGAAGCGCACGTAACAGCAGATACCTAACCGAATGAAACGATCATTAAAATCCCCAATGAATTATACAGTTGACTAACTCACAGTTACTTTGAGGACGAAGTGATCACTTTTGAATCTTGTGAAATACACGTAGGACTGGAAAGCAAGGCAACCGAATAGTACGGCACTCAAGAGCCCACAGACTTGAGTCGGACCAATGACCAGCCTTGGATCGAAAATCCCCCCCCCCCCCCCCCGAGCTTTCTAAGCTATTTGTTGCGCCCATACTAAGTTACGCAAGGTTATAGGGAAGTCGGGAACAGTCCGATCGTTATGACTAGCTTTGACAGAAGTGGTGATTGGTTGGGAATGTGAGGGGTCTGTTGGAGTTCACGGAAAGGTCGAGGTCGCGTCTACCACAGCTGCAGAAGGACAGAGATACAGCATCTCTATAGCTAGTGTGTGGATACATATAGTGATGCGCTTTGAGCTTGAGTCGCCGAAACGTTCTTGCAGGAAACAATATCTGATGATTAGGATGAAGTTCATCGAATCGGAAGTGGTTCTCAAAGGTGCCCGGCCTGTGTTTCACTTTCGATGCGCTATGCTCGGAGACACATGATTCTGAAATGTCTGTACGGCCCGACCAGACTATCAGCTCTATACGTCATTGAACTCGTGGAGTACCCATCGCGGCTACTTGATGGGTATGAGATAGAAGATCGAAGTTGAAAGGGTAAAGATGCTTCGGGATTTAACATCGTCGAAATTGGGCCATGTCCACTTTAATAACAAACTTCAAGCTTTATGCATCTGCACGGCAAGCAGCCCAGACTCGCATGTATCTGCAGGAATCAAGTCGTGGGTAGCAAGATAGAGCCTTAGCACCCTCCCAACTTGAAGCCATGGCAGTACGACTTCTCGAATGACATGCTATTTCGGGTTGTTACGGGTTTTGCCGAAGGCACGCGCGGTATATGCTCTTTGTCTTATAACCATTTAGACTGAATACTTTTCTTTGACCAGCTTGAATTGTTTCGACAGCTTTCAACGTTCAACCTGTTAACGGCTTTTGTCTACGAACGATACGATTGCAATTATTTTCATATCAGTACGCCCAGTTCATCTCCTCGAGTTCTTACCATTGTTATATTTGTACTCCGCACAGGCATATATAATCGTATCAACTGATCATTATCAATTCTACAACAACATCATGTCCGAGTCGATGTTCGGCTCTCCTTCTCACCTTTTAAGTCCCGACTTTGCATCTGAGTCAGTGCAGGCTGGCAATGGGGCCCGTATGCCAGCCCCTGTTCACCAACCACCACCTAGTTTTACAGATATCCAATTCGGTACCATCGGAAAACCGCCCAATTTACTCAGTCGCATTTCTGAGCCTGATCCGGGTCAAATGTCCTTTCGTTCACCTTCACCAGCAACGTTGCATCTTCCACCTCCAGTGCCCACCCGTGCCTCATTTCCAAATTCGCGAAAGCTAGCTGAGCGGATCCAAATGGGTCCTTCACAACTCAACTCGTCAGCAAAATCCCAAAATCTTCATCTAACACGTGAACTACCCCCTGCACCACGAATAAATCGCAACCGTTACGTTCCCGCAAACCCTCATTTAATTCCTCCGATTGAGGTTCTCCCGACTACTTCCGAGTCAAACGTGTCGCAAATGCAAGCCCCTACCAATGCTAACGTCAACAAAGTCAGAGAGGCATTAACGCCTGAACTCGTCTACCCAGGCTCATCTCTTGTAACTCCAACCACTGAACAACCCAATCGTGACATTTTGTCGTCGTCCGTTGCGTCTGGGTCGCCTCAACCAAATTCTTCCGTAGGATTCTTTCCTCACGCGACTCTGAGTCCACCCTCGTCGACGCTATCAGCACCTCTTTCTCCGAATTCTAAAATGACTGGGACTAGCTCAAACCAAGTTCCAGACGTCGTGCAGCCTGAAGCATCTCAAGAGCAAATTGCTCAAGACTCATTGTCCACTTTATGTGCCAGGCTTCTAGAAAAGAGCAAAACTTTATCCCTTGCCCTTCCTACATCGCTTATCAGGACCCCATCCCCATCTGTACCGCCTTCGAATGTACCCGAGTTAGCTGCCGGCCCTCGCAATGAAACGAATGCGGAGGAGCTTGGTGCCATTGTTCTTCGACACCCGTATCCTCACAACACTTGCAATTCCAAGGGCTCCCTAGATCGAGAAATATCACCAGCTGATGATGGTAACGCCCTTACTTTGACGAGTTCACGATCTTCAAATATAGCCTCGCGTAACACCCGCATTGAGTCATTGGTTGAAGTCATCAAGAATCTTAAATCCGTCGCCGACGACGCTGTCAAACTGCAGCTTGATGCGAACCAAGTATTTGAGGCAGAGCGCATAGACTTCGATGAACGCCGAAGGGCGTTCGAGGAACGCATGTTGACGAGGGATGCTGAATACGAAGCTCAGATGAAAACGTTGCAGAAGAAGCTGGAGGAGTTAGGCACCAGAGAGGAGAGACTCGTGGCGCTAGAGGAGGAATCGCGACTCCGAGAGGAGAGGAGATGCGCTCGGGATGCTCAACGCCGTGCGCGAGACGATCAGCGAAGGTTCGAGGACGAGTTGAGACGGACGGCTACCCAGGAAGAGATCGATGAAGCGATGAAACTTCTTCAAGAAGTAAAGGCTGAGAAGACACAGTGGGAGGCAGAGAGAGAGCGTGCCGAGAGAGAAAAAACTCTGGCTCAAAACAACGCAGCACTACTTCAGCTTTCTGCTGATATCGAGCCTCCTGTCGAGAAGGAGGATGGTATGACTGAAGAAGAGATTAAAGCGGTCGATGACTATAAAAAGGCTTTGTCCTCCCGACTCAGGTTGACCGAGAATCTGAAGAAACAAATCGCTTGGACTCGTCAATCTTTCGATGCGCTCCAGCATATGAAGCAGAAACGTTTGCAGGCCGACGAAGCAGAACGTCAGCAAGTCGAAGAGGATGCGCAGAGGCGGAGAATCCAGGCCGAAGAGACTGCGAAATCGGCTGATGAAGAACAAAAAATGGGGCGCGGAGACCTCCTCGCTCAGCGGTCACAACACCCAGAGGCACAGTCGCAGAACACCCAGCCTGATGTGCAGGCTGAATTTAATAGGCTTCGCGCTCAAGTGCTTGCGAACAAACAGCAGGCCACTTCGGAAAATGCTGCTCGCATCCGCGCTGAGCGTGCCGAACACCTGGCGGTCTCTACGATTGATGGTGATGGCTTGAAAGATATGAATGTGGAGGTGGAAGTCGACGAATTAGCATCGCCGCTCGACCATACTGTGCCATTACCGGGTCAACAAGATATTACGCCAAAAAAAGCTGCCTCGCGAACAAAGAAGACCCCTCGTTTTCAGGGAACTTCGGGCATGCTTGGTGCACCGCCAAATTCGGACGGTCCCCCTTCATCGTTAATGTCGACCCCCGCATCATCATCATCATCAACTGTCTCAGCCTCCTATAAGACACCCTCGTTTGTATCGGCTTCCACTGACATTGGGAGACAGGTGATCACAGATGCACCTTTGTTTTCGACTCAACTGGCTTCTGAATTCTCTCTGGATTTATCCATCTCTCCCCTGCCAAATGGGCCACCTCCGACTTCCAAAAAGATTGCATTGCCCAGCACTCCCAAGTCACGTACCATCCTCGCTAGCGATGGCAATGAATGGACTGAATGGACTGTCGGTCAACAGGCGAATTTCTCACCAGCTCAGAGAGAGGCAAATTTGCGACACATCAAGAAGAACAGGCACCGCGTCGAGGAGAGTGCTACTGGAGATCGGAGCGTGAAGCGACCTGACGACTCGCTTCCTATCAAGACGATAAAAACAGAAGAAGTGGTGGTCGAGGAGTCGCATAATCAAGAACGGACTAGCAGTCTCCTTGAGGAAGGAACATCTGCGCGATCTACTACGAATGCCATGGTTCACGTTTCAAACGACAATCCGCCGTCTGGTCAAGCCAAAATTTCGGCTTCTCAAGCGAACGGTGTCCCTCAAACTTCTATCGAACTTGTTGTCGGTCAAGCACCAAGTGCATCTTTGCGCTCCGATGCTCGAGATGGTTCAGCAGGTACATCAGGGTCTGTGACAGGGCTCGTACCAATCCGTAACAGCCCAGGTCCCTGGATCATGGATGCCTCTGTAGTCCGTCAGGAATGGACTCCAGATGCCATATCCCCTCATTCTGAGCCATCGGAATCTGCCTCTCGTCACGATCCCAACCAACGCTCTAGACAGAATTCTCAGATTAGTAGACGAACTAGATCCCCAGAACCCTCGGGTTTCACCCGCAGTAACGGTACCAGCGGCGAGTCTCGTAGTCAGCGCCAGCGACGGGCTCCTCGTTATCCAGACCATTATTCTCCCCCTCCCGCATCTGCAACGTCATCTCATCATCGGCACCTCGAACAGAATGAAACCGCAGCTTACGGGCTTTCCATTCCTCCCCGTCCAATGTCACCGATGAACAGTGGCAGAAAGAGGTTAGCGGAGCACGATAATGAATATGATAATCGTGATCGCCGTCGACCACGAGGTGATCATTATGTACCAGAACGAGACTATCGGAATTCTCGTGGACTCGCCCGTCACTCCCCTGATACAGAAACGGAGTGGCGAAGGGGTCGTTCTACCTCACCAGAACTGCGCAGCTCAATTCACGATCGACTACGGTCACCCTCGCCCTCCCGTCAAATCAGGCCGCACACTGAGAGAGATACATTTGATAGGCGTGGACGGAATGAGGGCAGTCACAGACCGGACTACACCAACACCGCGGATGTCCGGCGTCCCTCAGATTCGGGATACAGTATGGAGGAGCGTCCCGCTCGCCGTGAAGAGCGTGGTGATCTTCTAGGACGGATTTCAGTAGGTTTTCTGAGTAGGGCCTGAATTCGGGAGCTAACAGCTTTCTAGGTTTCGGGAGGACGTGGAAACATCAACCGCGGCAGGGGGCGCGGTAAAGGTGACGTTGGGAGAGGAAGGGGTGGTGCCGGTGGCCGTCGACAGCCATTGTCATCGAGGCCCTTGGAGGAACGCATCGCGAAATAAGGTGAAAGTTTGGCATTTGTAAGGTTTGATGTTTTTCTCGAGTTTATCTCTTCATGTCCTGCAGCGATCTTATGTTCTCTATGCTACATGTCATTTTCTTTGCAAAATCAAATGTGTGATTTACGTAAGCCATTATGAAGTGGTGCCTGGGCCTAGCCGGGCTTAGTGAGTGTCCTTGATCAACACTTGTCATTTCAACGACAACTTCTTTTGGGTGATATCACTAAGTACCATGAGCTGGACAGGGTCTGTTTCCTACTTTGATGTAGCTTATCGAGATCTGATATCCACTAGGTTCAAGAAGTCGCTGAATAGGGCGGGTACCACGGTAGGAACATATCTTCCATCCTACGCGGAGCTACTCATGACTCGTTTCAACCGCTCAGGTCTTACAAAAGACCGGACAGATCGAACGCACGATAGACCGTGAGTTTGCAGATGAAGAATCCAAGTACAGAGCGTATGTGCATCAACAGTCCGTCTCCTCCTTGTCATTTGACTTGCACCAGCTTCGAGAAGGAGTGTCAGGCATTGCAGAAGGATGCTAAACAATATCAGGATGCCATGCGCTGTAAGCCATCTGGCCTCGCTGTATCATGTAATATGCTGAAATAGTGCCACAGCGATGACAACCACACAGGCGCGGTTGGCTGAGACCATCGAGACCTTCTACGGCGCTGCAGATCGCTCATCAGATGGTGCTATGGCAAGTCACGCTTTCAAGAGCGCAGTGGAGGAGCTTGATGGGGGCATTCAGAGGGAACTTGTAAGTGATACTTGCTTCTGTTGATTCCATTTATTTAATATCTTCTACAGGAAGGTCCCTATCGTACGACCATCATGGAACCCCTCGGGAAGATGAACGCTTACTTCCCCGTCGTGAATGAGCATATCACCAAACGTAACAAAAAGGTGATGCTTCCTGCTATTGATCGGGGGCCCCGAGTGATTCGACTGAACAGTTTTTCAGCTCCTGGACTTCGACGCAGCACGTAGCAAACTACGAAAGGTAATCGAGAAACCAAGTGAAGACCCTACAAAGCTTCCAAAAGCACAACAAGAACACGACGATGCGAAAGAGGTTTTCGAGCTTATGAACGATCAGCTCATCTCAGAGCTCCCGCAGCTCTTGGATCTGCGCATACCATATTTTGATCCCAGTTTTGAGGCTATGATTCGCATGCAATGTAAGTTTGCCGAGGAAGGATATGAGAAGATGAGCGCTGTACAGAGGTGAGTTTGGGGGTTGGGAAATGATGGATAGGGATCTGGCTTATGCTATGATCAGGTATTTTCCTGACAATGTGCGAGATGATTATGCTGCAGGTCAGCTGGATGCGCAGGTATGATCAGCTGTTACGTGTACGCCCTTTGCTCATTGGTGATGGTCAGGTCGAGGCGGTCTTACAGGAAATGAGAGAACTATCTATCTGCGGGGCGAACTGATCCCTTCACATCACTTCATGTATACCATGTACACTACCGACTGTTCAGGTAGATCTTGCCTTCGGACCATATAGTATTAATGGGTGTAGAACCCTTGTAAGGCTGCATATTCCATGATTGCATCAAAAAAGACTGGTTAATAACCTCGTCTGCATTCAATGTTCGCGTTTGAGTTTAGCACGCATTTGTGTATAGAATCCTTGTGTATGTTGTATATACCAAGTATTTTTCTTGCAAGTCAAAGACAACGCTAGGACAACGGACTCTTCTGCATCGTAACTCTCCACTGGACTAACACGGTCTGGGTGGTTTAACCGATCTCCACATTCGCAAGACAAAAAATGTCACGAACTCCAACGAGCCAGAAATATCCATCGGGGTCCACGTCCATAATCTCAAAAGCCTAGAAGCCTAGAACAGTTGCTTACGATATTATGAATCATAGATGCATCATATTAATTTTTGATCTAGTCCATCATGCGATGAGTCGAGTTAAAGGAGGGCATGAACTTGCGGCCTAGCCTCTGCTTTCGAACTTTGAGTCGGCTATTGTGGGTTAGATGTGGCTCGTCGGGGAAGGAAATCAGTGATCCACTCGCACCGCATACTGTACTCTGTTCGAATAACAGTGGTCATGTCGCGTTCGATGTTGTATCCACACTTTTAGAGGACATTCCCGAGACAAAAATCCACAACAGCTTGAATATAAATACAGGTAGTCGATAGGCTTGAACCTTGAACCCACCCGCTTGTTATTTCTGTCGTCTGCTCTCTCGGTAAGAACATGGAATAAGAAACTCAGCTGACTGCAACTGACCCAGTCCCAGAGCCATATCTTAATGTCTGCCGAAGAAACATACTATAACGTCGAAGTTATCCAGTTTTGGCGGGGCGAGATAGAGTACCTTCGGCCCCATCCCCTTCACTGGGTCATCTACGTCCCAACCGATCCTGGTGTCGGAAACACGTACCACCTCCTGGGAGACACAGAGACCTACACCGTGGAGTTCAGGCGTAACCAGCCACATGTCAACCCTGATGACTGGCGCGGAAGCCACACCATGGGAAGAGTGGCTGCAAGTAAGCTGGCCCTTTTCGAATGGAACCTCGCGAACGTTCCGATCATGTATAACGACCCCCGATGGAACAGCCAGAACTGGGTGTGGGACTGTCTTCGCCGCCTCCGCCATCAACGTTTTGAGATCAGCTGGGAGCTTAGACAATGCGACCTTCAAACAAAGATGTGCTGCCTGTTGGAGGACTGGGATTTCGGTCGAATCTAGAGGTGGAGATCTAGCGTGCCCGAATGGCTGATCAAGTATTTAATGTTCTTATTCAGAGCCATTGGGAGCACTCGCCATAAATTCAAGATATTTGCAATTGCCATGTGAATCATCATTAGCATCATAGACATCTTGGGTGATCGTGAGTGCCCTTCATTGTCCTGACTGAACAAAGACTCAAGAGCCATTCAATTTCTGTCGCTCTGACAGACAGAAATGACGCGTGAAAGGATGACGTCCCATCCCTTCGTATTGCCAGTTGGAGATGGGCACTTGCGTGTCGCCCGTGTGTGAGTCGGGCGAAGGAGGCCGCCGACGATGAAGAAATAGTAATTTGCATTCCTTCAACATGAGCGAAACGCTGCTAGCAAGACGCGACGGTAGACCAGGATTAATGGCCGCATTATCTCAATTTGACCTGCAGCGATCCGAGTCGACAGCAATGGATCTGGAAATTCAAGCTTCAAGCTTTCAGGCTTGGGCTGTAGTGACGCGATGCCACTTGACTCTGAAGTCAGACGTACAGTGAACAAGCTAAAAACATTTGTCAGTACTTTGCCTTCCAAGGAGACAAATTTAAACAGCCTGCTGTGAGCACGCTGGTTTACCTGAGTTCCCATACTTAGTACTGTACGTACATGAAAGGTAAGTTTTCCAGATTTCAGCGTAACGGCTATGCGCATGTGGCAGTCTGACCTGCCAGGCACAATGGACAGAAATGGAAAAAAAACTCACGTGCAGCTGACTAAGGCAGAGTACTACTCGCGCGCGGACTTTCATGCATCATGCCAAGGACTATCCGACTATATATGCAACCAACCTCGCAGGGCCCTTTGCACTCCATTTCATTGGACATACACACAAAAACTTTGAATACTTGCCAGTGAACGGACCCGCTGAGCGCCAACACCCAGACAAATAAAACAAGCACGTTACGACATTTGTCCTCCCATCAATTGAAGAAATGTGCAGATTCTTCAAGGCTGAATGAACATCCGATATCAACGAGTTGGTGAGGGTGAAGACCCGCAATGTCGAGCTGATTTTCGGCCTGCGTCTCCTTGGTGCAGATATGACGATGGATGTCACCATTGTTCCTCCCTTCCTCTTTGATATTCCTGATGCCAGCGTACGGGCCGCGCCACTCTACAGAGCATAACTGTATCCAGACACGACAGCTGCTGTATTCGCTATTCTGTGCGTAGCGCTCCGATTATCCTCAGTTCTGTACTCATTAGCCAGACGTTCGACATTGAGCTTGTGTTCCTGCGATCTCATCTAGATAACTTCGCGCTGCTCAATCCTGCTTCGATGTTCTTTGCTGTATCTATTGAACTTTATAATCTTCAGTACAAAGCATGGCAAATGATGTCAAGCGATGTCGACTCAGCGATCTTGCAGGAGGGTCTTTCTGGCCCTTCTGATCAGTCAATGTATCTGAACAATCTGGCCATCAGTCTTCAAGCCAGACTCGAGCAACAGGGTGTCCTGTCTGACCTGGATGAGGCCATCGAGCGTTACAGAGTTGTACTTCCACTCCGTTCCCCTGATCATCCTGGTCGATCCACGACTCTCAACAAACTTACCATCAGCCTTTATGACAGATGGAGGCGGCGGGGCTCTCCGTCTGACCTGGATGAGGCCATCACACTCCATGCTGCCACCCTAGCACTATGTCTCCCTGGCCATATTCCCCAATTGGAGTATATCAACAACCTTGCCACCAGTCTTCGTGGCCGATTTCAGCAGCACGGAACCCTGTCTGAACTGGAAGATGCCATCGAGCTCCACAGAGCTACACCCATATTCTGTCCACCTCACCATGCTCTTCGATCCAATTATATGAACAACCTTTCCATCAGCCTTTGTGACAACAGGGCGCTGTCTCACTTGGATGAGGCAATCGAGTTCTACCGGGCAGCACTCGCACTGCGTCCTCCTGGCCATTCTCTCTGATTCATGTCTCGACGACCTTGCCACTAGCCTTCCAACTGGATTCGCGAAATGTGCCGCCCCATCTGACCTGGACGAGGGAGGCCATTAAGCTCCATATAGCTGCAGTCACGCTCCGTCCCCCTGACAATCCTAGGCGATTCGTATTTCTCTACCACCTTGACATTAACCCTGAAACCATGTTCGAGCCGTAGGGTGTATCATCAGACTTGGATGAGGCATATAGGCTGTATATGCAGCTCTCAAAAATATCTCATTCAGTCTCTCGCCAATGGGGTACACCAATGAACAGATAAAACACCACTCTGCCTTGCTTACCGTATTCGTTCACATATGGCACTTAGTTTGAGACTCATTCCCCGATCTTTTAAACATTTAGAGTACCGAACTTATGCTCTATCGTGTCGGCATAAAATATCATATAGTTTTCTCAAGTGATTCTCGTACCCACAGCTGATGTTGTGAGCTCCTACACCTTGACTGTTCAAATGAAAGTCTGGGTGGTTCGATCCCTTAATTCGAGTGATTGATTCACCAAACATAAGAATGCCATTACAAAGGGCTCAAACGAGCCACTGCACGAAGTCTGTTTCCAAAAGCATAGAACAATTGCGTGTGGTACAATAAATCACGTCAACCTTTGATGTCTTCCATCACAGGATGATTGGTAACAATGACCTAGCGTAGTAAGCATCCACCTGTAGTTTTGAATGTGGCGGAGTCATTGTGAATCACTCAATCTGGGAGGACGATCTGTGGTTCACCAAAGCACAACATACTCTCTTCGGGAGATGGTGAACATGTCGTGTTCGATGTCATATCCACACTTCGTTGTCCCCGAAACCAAACTCCACAAATGCTTGGATATAAATCCAGGTCATCGATGAGCTCAAAACTTCAACTCACCCATTCCTCACCTCTCCTTCCTCTGCCCTTTTGGTGAGTACACAGAATACGAAACTCGGCGAACAGAACTGACCGAGTCCCACAGTTATCTTCGAATATGTCTGCCCCAGCTACGTATTACAACGTCGAAGTCGTCCAGTTTTGGCGAGGCCAGAAAGAGTACCTTCGGCCTTATCCCCTTCACTGGGTTATCTATATCCCAACGGGTCCTGGTATCGGGAACACGTACCACATCCTAGGAAACACAGATACCTACACCATGGAGTTCAGGCGCAACCAGCCACACGTAAACCCCAATGACTGGCGCGGAAGCTTTACCATTGGAAGAGTAGCCGCCCATAAACTGGCTTTGTTCGAGAGTCACCTCGCAAGCGTGCCGATCACGCGTCACGATCCCCGCTGGAACTCCCAGAACTGGGTGTGGGACTGTATCCGCCACCTCCGCCACCAACGTTTTGAGATCAGCTGGGAGTTTAGACAATGCGACCTTCAAACGAAGATGTGCTGCCTGCTGGAGGAATGGGAATTCGGTCGAATTTAGAGGTCGAACGACGAAGATCTGGCGTACCAGAGTGGTTCATCAGAATATTCTTATTTAATAGGAGCACTCACCATAGAGTTTAGACACTTGTTTGCATTCTGCATTTGTATCATTATTAGCATCATAGACGACTTTGGCGATTACGAGTGACCTTCGTTGTCTTGCTTAAATCAAAAGGTTTCCTCACCGATCAAGTTCTGTCGCTCTAACAGACAGCACAATTGGGAGACGCTAGGCGTTTAGGATGCCGCATGGGATGAAAAAGGCGATAGTTGAGCGCGACCAGCAGCCTCAGTAGTCCAGGAATTAGTACTAAATTTAAAGTATAACTTTGGTATAACTCAAAAGAAAGGACTCGCAGTACAAATCTCCCACGATTAACGACATCCATCACATACAATCAACCTCAATCCATTCCATGCATACAATTGCAAAAAAACAACCAAGTAAGTAGGTATACAAAGTGATTAAATATATCATCAAAAGTATCATCTATGATCTTCAAAAAGGCGGTATTGCAGACGATCTCCAGCACCATAACAGCCCCGTAGACAACCTCCAGTACCGTCGTAGAGCCGCTCTATGTAAGTAGGCGAACACGAAAAATAGCAATATAAGTATGCACTAGCTCAGAAGCAAGAAGCAAAACTGGATGAATGAATGCTTAGCCATAGCCATAGTATCTGTGTGATAGTATACACCTAAAAATCTAGGGAAATCATGGTATGATGATGCGGTGAGATTGTATATGGAGACAGTTGGGGGGATGATCAAGGATAAAGAAATCAGAACGATACTTGAGACAAGGATATAAGGATTCAGATGGAATGGAAAAGGGAAATGCAGATGGAGGGGAATATAAATAAATCCAGCCCCTGGGACACGCGGATAACAGAAAGATACAAGGAAAAAATACACTCCCACCTCAATACGGCCCAAAACTGGTTATAGCCAAACACCCCAACCAAACCATCTCAACAGCAGCCCTCCCAACCGGCGTCAACAAATGCCTCATCTCCGACGTCGGAATCTCCAGATAAACAGCCCGAGGGTTATTAGCAGCAGGCAGCGCCACCTCTTCTTGGAGACACAACCCAAGCTTGCAGAGTCCTTCGGGTTGGAAATGAAACCCGTTGTCGCGCGAGCTGCACATGCAGATGACAGTTTCGATTCCCAGTCCTAGTGCTGTCGACGTCTCCGACTGTGGTCCGAGTTGTGTCTGACCTAGTCCCAGCTGTGATTCTGATTCCTCCCGATTCCGCACCCCAACAGGACCCCCAACATCCAAAGTAGGCCCCGCAATCGCCAACCCATCACTAGGCACCCTAATCCCCGTCCCCCTCAGTTCATCATACCCTACCAACCGCGCATTGACCCGAAAATTTCTCAAATAAACATTCTTTTGGTTGGATTCGACGTTAGTGTCGCTCGTTGAATGCATTTGTTTCACTTTTTTCTTGTTGGCGGATGCGGACGCGGACGCGGAGTTGGAGTTGGAATTAGAGGAGGAAGAATTTTTGTTCTTGTCTTCGAAGGGGACGTACCAAACGAGGAGGAATTGGCGGTCTTCGGGGATTGTGACGAGTGTGGCGCTTGTGGCTGTCGTAGCGGCCGATGCAGCCGTGGAGGTGGAGGCGGTACTACCTTCGCTGATGCTGCCAATCCCCACCACGCTACTCCCCGTCATGATGCTCCCACCTCCAATGCCACCTCCCACACCCGGATCTGTCTCCCCTGCCCAAAGCGGCAGAAGCATATAAAGCGAGTCCTCTGGGACATAATCAAAAATATCATGTGTAACCGCTTTCTTCTTCGCCGATCCCGATCCCGTTCCCGTACTCTTCCCCGTCTTATGACTCGGTTGCGTATGCAACAACCCAACATCCCTAAACGAATTATTCAGATCCGTGAGCACACGTACATGTTCCTCATTCTGGTCTCTGCCAGCGGTGACAATCCATGGAGGACTATACGCGCTTTGGGGTGTCGCAACTGGTTGAGTGATGTTGTCTACTCGGTTAGCTGCACCTCGGAAGCGTCGGAATATGCGGTTCGCGAAGCTGCTGCTGCCGTCGGTGGGCTTTTGGGCACGCCGGAGATGCTCGATGTCGTTGGGGTCGAGGGTGCCGAAGGCTTCGGCGTGCGGCGTACGTGTGGGAAGGTGTTCGTCAGAGTCGATGCTGTCCCGATGGCCGCGGATGTGCGAGGTCGCTACGCTTGTCGAGGATTCAGACTGCAGGAGTTTCTTGGAGGAGTGATCGAATGTTGATGAGGTATCTGGTGATGACGGCCCGCTCGTAGACTGTGTCTTTATAGGGGACCTAGGGGGCACGATCGAAGGCGCAAACATGATCTTGGACGTCGTAGCTCGCACGGAGGCAGATATCACAGGAGAAGCGCTGATGCTCCCCGTACTACTCGTCGTTGCGCTCGACTCCGTACTCTCTGTCGGATTACTCGTGCGGTCACGGTCATTATTCTTCTTCGATTCTTTCTTCTTTTCCTTGGCTTTCCCCTTTGCTTTCTTTGCGTCTTCTTTGTCCTTCTCCCGCCGTTTTTCCTTTTCAAGAAGAACACCACGACGTGACTTATCACTGCTTCCGTTGCCGATGGCTTTGCGAGATCTATCCTCGAGTAACCCATGCGTAATGAGTTTACTTGTCGTTTTCGTACTCGTATATTGTTCTTGCACTTTCTTCGGCGCGAGCATGATTCCCCCACTTGTATGCATATGGATATTGCGAGATCCAGGCCCAGCGCGTTTAGACGTAAAAAGCGAATAAGAGCGAAATATGGAGAATGCAGTTGCGCGAGAATGTTTGTGGATGACGGTGCTCGGACCGCCTGTCTTTGGACCCTTGAGGAAGGGATCGGGGATATGCCGGATGTTGATGCGTTGTTGGGCGGCTTTGGCAGGGTCTGCTGTGGATGCTGGTAGCAGGATCTCAGTATATAAGACGAGGATGTAAAAAGGACATACGTTTGAAGACGAGTCTGTCAACTCGAAATCGACCGACGTTCCCGCTCCTCCATATTTCTTGCGTGCCGGGATGCATGGTATGTTTTGCCTTGTCCATAATTACTAAGGCGCCTGCCTGGGCATTCGGACGGCGCATGGTGGGGACGCTCTGGGCATCTGCTTTTTCCTTGCAAAAAGCCCACTGGTTTTGAGTGTCGTACATGCCGATGTGCTTAGCAAAGGTATCTTCACCGCTATTGGTGGTTTGAAGTGTGCCGGTGCTGGTACGGCGTCCGCTGTTGCCCCACATGTTGGAGAGACGAGAGGAGGGTTCGCCTGTGCTGGTGCTGTTCCGTGCAGGAGCGAGAAAGGAGAGCTGAGCGGTCGATCGGACGGAATGAATGCTTCCTTCACTCTTTCTCGAGAGAACATAGGACAGATCCCAGCCGGATTCCCATGTATCTGGTTCTGACTGCTGCTGTTGCGCCTGGGCCTCGAGTGAACGAAAATCAGCGCGGGTGAGGGGTTCGCTGCGTGGCGCGACAGCAGCTGGATCTTCTTCGCTGTGGGAAGGCATGAGATCGTCGTCGAGGCTGCGAGATGGACGACGGATGGTAAGGATGCTGTCTTCGCGGCTGCGATTGCTGACTGCATCTGACATGGCGCCTGGGATTGCCATTGGGAGGCTGCCACGACGGCGCTCCGCGAAGAGGGGACGAGGATGGAAGACAGGGCTATTCTCATTCTCGTCGATGTTATCGAGGTCACGGGCGAAAGTGACAGGTGAGGAGCCTCCGTCGTATGAAGCGATCTCTACTTCCTCGTCACTGCTAAACTGGAGGTCTGAGCGGAGACTTAGACGTGAGCTTGAGCGGGAGGAAGTGATTGAGGCGGTTGAGCCGCGTACTGCTTGATGACCGAATGTGTGCTGGCTGACGTTGTCTGAGATCAAACGACCTCTTTGGAAGCCGCGTCTCGGGTAGAGATCGGGCGATGAGGGATCTTCACTGCTTTCTTCATCTGTGTGTTCTGTTCTGTATGATCTTGAAGAGCGTAAAGATGATGGAAAGGTACTTGAAACTGTGCGTCCTAGACCCTGTGAAGGATGACTGCTAAAAGTTGAAACGGATGGACGAGGGGTCCTATCAGCGCCTGGGCGTGTTATTGGAGTGAGTGGGCTGATTGCGTCTGATGACTCGTCGCCTGATGAAGTTGAGCGAGCTTCACCGAAAGTGAAAGTTGCGAGATTAGAATAAAGATTATCTTGAGAGATAGATGACATTGCAGGTTTATGTCGAGAAGGTGGAGCTGTGAGAGACATGGGTGGTATGATTGAAGGACTGATTATTATCAGTTATTAGCCTTCCCCTAGTAGCAGAATGATTGAGAACTCACGCATCTCCTACTTGATCACTTAAAATTTTTGGGTCTACAATATGTAAACCCAATGAAGATGACATGTTCACCGGAGAAGGCAGTTGCTTGACAATCCTTGAAGAACATATACACCCACGTGGCAAGAAATTTTAAAACTCCGATGTTCCTGATTTTCACCTACGACTTCAAATTTTATCTTAGTCACTCCTAAACCTATCATATCGTTACTTTCCAATGGTATCATCTACCCAGGGCTATCTCTATCCAATTAAGCACTTTTTGCATGTACCCATATCAACTCATATCAACTCACCCTTTCTCGACACCCACTCCCGCGAAACCTCGTGATGATGTCATTAAAAACAGTCGTTGAGCGCCAATGAAATTGACAGCGGCAACACGCTGTCAGAGTCACCGGTAAGGTCCCCAGGGTGGCCCCCTTCAGTGGTATTTGTACCTGCGAGCGCGAGAAGAAGGGGATATATCAGTCCGAGTGCCAGCGTCCCTGCAACAGGCACTTGTCTTGCAGCTTCTAAAGCCTACTTATGTGTCGTACTCGTACACATAGTCGACCTTCATCCCGAGCGACACGGATTCAGATGTACGTGATACGAACAGCCAATTGCTCTCGGACCGATCATCGCACAACCCGGCCCTCATGGCTTCGTATAGCATCAGCTATCTACAATAAAAAAAGAGGTGTGAGATCAAATTGAAATCACTCCACGAGCGGGCGCCCTCACCGTAGATCTACACCAGGGGGACACTTGATCAAGCTGTTGACGAGGATATCGCTAGAAATCTGAGCACCTGCGTCCTTGGACCATCGACTACCGCATCGCATTATCCACAGCGGGTACATCAGCCAGTTCTTGTGTCATCTAGGCAGGGCTACTTTTAGCTCTACTGCTATTCCACTGCACTATGTACACCATCTTCATATCATCTACTCTCCTGAGAATTTTCTCTTCAGGCTCTGTGCTCGGTGCGATTTTTGCTTACGAAATTTAATTAACAGTACTTGTGTTTACACTCCTTGTCTTTGTGGAGCTTGAGTTCATACTAATCGTCGGGATGATGTCATCGCAAACCCGCCTCAAGCGCTGAGCGCTGACAGCGTGGTTCTCGGACCGTGCTATTTTTTAGTGGCGGCAGTATATATGGATGTGATCCTGCGGCATGCCGTGTAACGCTTACCGTAGGTACTTTTTTGGAATCAAAATTCTGTCCTTGTACCATATATGTAGGACAACAGTCTCCAATGTCCGGGCCCCTGTGTCCCAGCATGGGGAATCCCCGGCCCTGCTGGGGCTTTTACATGTGTCAGTCCTTAAAGATGATTTGACCGTTTATATGTGGTATGCGTCTGAAACGGCTACCTTTGTTAATCCCGCAGGGGCTGGTTCCTCGTTCGTCAGCCGTGGAATACATGGACAGGCCCTAACAAACTAATATCAATTTTGCGGTCACCATTCCTCGTCCCGTCCTTCAACCTAGGGGTTTCTGGCTGAAGAACTAGGGACCGTGTTCCCCTCATCTCGTCGAACGGCGTTCAGACTTGAACATGATTTTGATATTTCTACTCAAATGTCCAGGAACATACCCCATTCTAGCTCAAAATGGAAATGAATAATTTTTCGAGTGGTTGTTTTAGAACCAGCGGTCTTAATGATTTAAAAGATGCACCTTAGTGACGTTGCAGGTACCGCAGACATCGACTTGATTGACAAATTTCTTGAGCGCGTGGTTGTATTTGAGAGGTCCGTTTTCCGTGAGAGGCTAATGACATCTGACTTGTTGGATTAAGATGCAAAGCAAGACAATGAACACGTATGGTATGTCAGTATTAACACAATATCCATAGCATCTCACTGAGGGCATTTCCTTCAAAATCGAATCAAAGCTGCTTTGCGCCGTACCTCTTATTCGTACGCACTTCGCGCTGAGACGTAATATTCTTTGAACAACAGAGATGTGTTCAAGGGGTGAAAATGGAAGCTAATCCGGAGGCTTGCGCACATGTGTAGTGTCGGCAACGAGAAGTCCAGCGTCACGTAGTGCGGTGATTGGCCTGCTGATAGCTGGGTGTGTGCATGCGTATACAAAGTTTCAGCGAGGCTAGGGTGTGTTGTCAGGGTACTTCTCGGGCGTCATTATTGAACGTGCGTCAAGAGCAAGGTCGCTTATTGGTATGGCATGGTTTCAAGGCGCCTTGATTGATACTTACAGCGTCTCAGGTGCTAACTACGCTTTTGGTGTCAGGTCATCCATTCAACTCAAATGAAAAATTTAGAATGTGACAGTTCCCGTACACACCGTAATACAGTCTCCCTTGGTCGACCAATAAAAGGAGGGCAGCTATCTCGTCTTATCTGATACATGAGGTCATGCATAATCCATAAAAGCATATATTAGCTTATATCCTGATGTGGATTTTAGTGATTGCAGTACATTGAGTTCAATACAAACAGGGCCGCTTACTGTTCTCCATTACATTCACTTCGTATTACTATATTGTATATGCTGTCAACATTAAGTTAGCCTAGAACGAAAATAAAGGGGGTTAACGGAAGAAACCTTATGACGAGAAAGTGTCCAGTCATATATCCTGCAAAAGACTCCACTCTAAAATAGAAATGCGGGATTCAATAAAAACTTGAAGGGCTGCCAGAATTACCGCATTGGTTGTGACCGAGTCCAAGTTTAACTTGAATCAAGGGTTTGTGGGTCGCAAAATCCATGCTTGGATTGACTGATAAAAACTGCCAATAATCAGAGTTCATTGAATATGAAGACGACAGAGGCTAGAGCATGACAAAACAAAATTCACTAAATGTCTCGGGCTCTTTGGCCCTAGTTCGCTGACCGAACAGATTACAAAAGACTGACCCTACTTTTTGGTCATGGCGTTCGACCAGGAATAAGACATTAGCCCATCCTGTGCATGGAGAGCCAGCAGTGCCTTCCATATCTGCCGGATGCAAGTTGGGCCCCAGTTCTCCGCCTTGCAGTTGCAGGGTTTCCTGGACTCTTGCCTGCAGAGAGATTCACCTAAGCATGTGTATTGACAGGGTCCGTGCAGACAGTATGTGTCTTTGAGTGACAAACCCAACAGGTACGACTGCGTGTCAGTCAGACGATCGGACCCTATCCCCACTGACCGTGGGAGGCAAATTGCAATGAGAGTAACTCAAGCACGGCCGTTACATTTCAATTGTGCGATATGGGGGTTCTGGTTCGAAGCCACTGGACATGCTGAGTCTGCACTATGCAGGTGACGCCCGGATCACAGTGACTGACATCAGAGAACCCGTAGGCGTTCAAGTTGTTTGCCGGGTAGTTGGATGGCGTCACAATCCATGATGGTGAGCACGGCTTCGAGAACTGAAGAAGTCAATTGCGTTGAGCCATTTAGTTAGCTCACGAGGCGACGGGTATGACTAGTACTATAGCTGCACATACAATTGGACAAAGGTAGGCAACATCTCGAGTTTTTTCTGAGGTAGGAGGCTCCGCCAACAACTTGGGTTTTCACTGTTCAGCCGGCAAGGTTCAAGTTACGTGCCGGTAATTCCCGGCGAGTAATCCGTAACAGGTAAAATTTGCTTCCTTTTTTTTGGGTACAGGAATGCTGGACCAGCCACGATCTTGATCCTAGTGTATGCGGAAGGCAGCACCAAGTTCTTTTCATATTTGGCCCTTCTAGCAGGCGCAAGCCACTCCGGGCGAGTGTCTTTTCTACACCGAATCGCAGCCCAAACCCCTTCAAAACCTTGAGGCAAATGGACTTCTGGACCCTTCAAGTTGGTGGCAGACTGATACCGTGATGGGACACGGGCGGAACGTTCAGCTAGGGAAATCTTGTAACGTTTGCGAACGTCTTACTACCGCTGACTCTTGTGGTGCTTATGACGGCAGAAGTATGGTAGCCGGTACAGGCCCATGTAGGTAGTTATCCCCGTGTTATGAATTCAAGTTTGTTTGTCAGGCTACTAGATTATGGCTGAGTACATGAAATGCATGAGGTATGTAGCATGCCCTGAAATTAACCAAATAGCTTCAGCTTGTCTTGCATTGTCTGGCGATATGACCGCTAATCAACAACGATGCATCATGGTGGTGACGGTGGATTGTCTCAAAGTCCATCTTACTACAGCAAGTGGCGCCTCACGGTCTTCACCTCATTTATATATATCCTGGCTCCTTTGATGTTCATCAAATTCTGATATCGGGACTTGGACTACGCTCTCTGCTTGCCGTAGCTTGTCGTAGCACTTGATGGCTTCTGCATCTACTATCGAGTGTCCCGTCATTCCGAGAGAACAGCTCATCAAAGTGAAGGAATTTCCGACAGCTGTGGGGGGCTATGGACAGGTTTTCCAGTGCATAATGCAGCGGCCAGGGGCGCTAGAAGCTTTGGTAGGTTTATTCATTATCAACACTACCTTTGGTATTCACATCTCGCAGGTGGCTGTCAAGGTCCTAATACATGCTTCCAAGAAGGTTTACCTTTACTTTCATTTCTTACACGAAACGTTGTTGATAACGTCTAACTGTAGCGTGCACGTCGTGAGATGAAACTATGGATGGCAGCAAGACATGATAATATTGTCCCTTTGCTCGGTATTGCGGAGGGATTTACAGAAGAAGGCTTCGCTATGGTCTCTCCCTGGATGGGAGGCGGGACACTTGCACACTATCTCCAGGATCACGAAGGAAACATCCCTTGCAGGAAAAAATTGACTCTGGTGCGTGTTTCTTTGTTCCACCACACAACCTGTTCGAATATCTCGCAGATCAAGGATGTTGCTATTGGCTTGGCATATCGTTCGTTATGATTTCTGTCATTCATCCTGTTGTATATGACCAGCTTTCTACAGTACATTCTCAAAAGATTGTCCATGGCGACCTCACAACTGTAAGAAGCGTATCTCTTATACAAGACAGACAACATTAAGCACCCTCTCCTGGCAGACTAATGTCATCCTTGATGAAAGTGGAAGAGCATTGTTAATCGACTTCGGGCTATCGAATGTGCTCGGCGGCATGGCTGGTAGTTGCCTCTCACTCTCCGTAGCACGACCAGGGGCAGTGCGATTTGCTGCACCAGAACTGTTGGTGGTAGAAGAGGCGACAAGCGAACCTACCGGAAAGGATTCGGCGGTCGACAATGAGCCCCCGGTATCAATACCGAATGTACCCAGCGACATTTATTCTCTTGGTTGCGTAATGCTAAATGTAAGCGCTTCTCGACTATTGCCGTCTCAACGAGGAGTTCACTAATTGCTGGAAAGGTCTTCACAGAAAAGCTTCCATGGTACACCCATGTCTATAGTAATCTAGCTATTGTCGGGGCTCATCACGCGAAGAAGTCGATGCCCTTTCCTTCCCACGACCATCTTTCTAAGGAGCGCAAACAGTTTATCTGCGAGTGTACTTCAGTTCAAGTTGGCGGAAGGCCATCAAGTCAAAATGCCGTGGTTTTTATCGAAGAGGAGCTACGTATTGAAGCTCCCATCCAGCAGTCAATGACAAGGGCATCAAATAGAGATATCCCCACTATCGTCTTGCACCTAGATACGGAGATACCAAGCCATATCCAAGAACCAATTAAAAATGTAGTCGGTCATTTACATCCCCGAGGTGACGGCAACTCTCCTACCAACACCCCTTCTGCGTCGTCATACTCAACCTGCTTAGTGAGTCCTGTCGATTACAAATATTTCTCAAATACTAATCAAATACGACATGTGTGGCTTTACACGCAGACGTCGCAGACAACCCCTTCTGTCACCTTGCACAAGCTGGATACGGAGATACCAAGCCACATCCAAGAACCAATTGTAGATGTAGTCAGTTATCTACACCCTCAAGGAGACGGCAACTCCCCTTCCGTCTCCCCTTCTCCATCGTCATACTCAACCCGCTCAGTGAGTTCTGTCAATTACAACTACTTCTCAAATACTAATCACATCGACGTGTGTGGCGTTACACGCAGGTGTCGCAACCAGCTGATGCACATGAAGGCACATCTTCACGAACTGGCAACACGTCCACCGTGGCGCAGCTATTGTCAACCACCTCGATGTCAGATAGCAACGACTCACCTGTCCTCGCCGATCCGCCAATCAGAAAGGTATCTTATACTCTTAGTTTCAGACGGCATGTGTCACTAACTGATGAGTCCAGTGTACTGTCGTCATTGCCGGGGCCGTTGGTTCTGGGAAAAGCTCCCTTGTCAATCTCTTATCTAGGAAAAGTGTCGCGGGCACATCGATCGACGCCGGGCGCTGCACGGGAGAGTTGAAGGATTACACGATTTCTTTTCGCGACACCGCCTATAAAGTGTTTGATACTGTTGGGTTTACATGCAGTAACGGTCCTTCCTCTGTGCCCAAGGAACGGCCAAAGAAGTATGAAAAACGGCAGATCGGAGAAATATCCGGCCAGGGCAGTATTGACTTGATACTGCTCTGCGTGCCAAGCAGAAACTTTCGTGTGCAAGCGGTGCTCGACATTCACAACAAGATCCAGGGCGAATTGAATGGAAGAAAAGTGCCCATCGTACTCGTCGTCACTCACTTCGAGGAGCAGCAGCCCAGTGCTACTACTCATACTATCGACAGATGGTGGTCCGAAAATTCGTCGACGTTTCAGGCTCAACTGAACTCCATCGCCAAACATACTTGCATCACGTTGAGTCAAGACAAATACTTCGATGAGTCCCGCGAACATATCTTCCGGATTATGGCACAGTATCACACCTCCGTTGCAAGGGAGCTGCCGCAGCGGTCGTCTGGAGGTGACCATTCTACATCACCTTTCAGAGCCCTCCTGGATGATGTGGTCCGGGCTCTTCACATCAAACAACTGTCCGCGCAGGTCCGCGGAGTCGTCACGGGTGGGCTTAGTCTACGACCACGCTCTTCCTGAGTGTATCGGGAAAGTCACTATCATTGCAGGATGACTGGTCCCAAATACCTATGTATGTGTTGAAGAGGTATATTATCGGTTGTTTAAATGTATACTTACCATTGCCGCCCCTTTTATATTAATTACGCGCTTACCACTACTTCTTATCCTTACCTTATGTCATTAGTACTACTGCGTAGCATAGTATACATATTGCACATCCAGCTCAGGCGGCCCAACAAATTGTTGCTCTTGAAATACATTACTCATCACAGAATTGCAAATGTCTACTTCGTAATGTCAAATAACTTGAATAACAGCGACACCGTTGACCAAGCATATGTTACACATGCACATGTACAGTAGATAAGTACCACGACGAGACTTAGAATACATCAAGATGAAATTTCTCCCTACAGACTACCCCGGGCCGTTCATTGTATATCAATTACATCGAGTATCTCCACACTGCCGCTAGTCGACAAGTGGACACGCTTCGGGAAAGTAATTGAAGGTAATAGTATCCAACTCAGAGCTAGCTAGGTCCTCAGCATGATGACCTCGAACGCTAAGAATCAGGCGTGGTCCCAGCACAAACAACTGCGCGAAATGGAAGATTTGCGCAACACCAGAATAAATTTCAGTTTCCACAGAACTTAGGTTCTATGAAGATGGTGAATTATGGCCACGTGTGAAGATCGACAACAAATCGACATACCCCTGAGAGCGTCGGAGAAGAAAACCCGACGTAGAAACAAGAAACTGCAACAAAACTAGCATGTGCAGAACTTCAGTGGAAAGGAAACTATTTTCACATTATGAGCTCACCTCGCAAAATAACACAGGTGAGTTTTCACTAACACCGTGTAACAGTCCCCAATAACACCTCTTGTTGAGTATTGTCGCAGTTCACGCAAGTGCTTTACAGCAATCCAGAGTGTGAGACCCAACAGAAGGAGCTCCAATGCAATGGAGAGTATCCAGGTGATGATATACAGAAGTACGGTATTTCCCACGTAGTCAATCTTGCATCCATAGGTGCCGGAGAGAATCACTTCCTCTGGCATTTGTCAATGAGCGTGATGCAGCCAAGTCTTTCGTCCATAATTGGAGCTTACCCATGGAAATATGCATCATGGACATTGCGGCCATCACTGCGTTGGCAGTTCTGATGACCAGAAAGATGACAACAAGAAATGCCAGCATCTTTTTGGATCGCTGATACATGGCATTCACCCGAGTGATCAAGATGACTTGCGTGATGTTTTGGTCAAGTCAATATATCACGGAGGTGTATAGCTTACCGCCCAACATTGAATCTACGACCTCATTCGTGCTTTCCAGTGTAATGTACATGATACGGCCTGAAATATCCAGTTATCAGCCTCGGAAGATCGTACGCTCAAAATAAACTCACAACTGTAGCAGTTGTTATATTGAACCAACAAGTTGGTCAAGAATCTCACTCACCCCTACATGGAAGTTCAGTGGGCATAGAAGTCATCGGCGTGGAGCACTCACTGAGCTTGTAATTGAAATCGTCGGAACATTAGCTGTACGCCGCCAAGTCAGAAGAAGCGAACACAGTGAATATAAGATGACATACTCAGCATCTTGAGGCTGATTGTGAGAGATCGTTGATGAGCACAATGTCAATCCTCTAGCCTTTCACATACATAACATATCCTATTCCAACATAGCGTATCTAGGATGTGTTCGCGTCAGCTCGACTTGCTAAGCATGTCTAAACATAGCTACATACGCAGAGATACAGAATGGTCATCAGGGACCGACGTCCCCTCTACCACGAATTAGATATAGTTTTACGCCACGTCGGAATCTGCTCACCCAGAAGAGTTCAATCTATTGATCTATTCTTAGTGAGATGGCTACACCAGTAAGGAATTGATCTACCTCTTGTCCAAACGTGAGCACTGAGAATACGATAAGGATGTCAGCGGTTCTGTCACACTCAGTCTTACTCACCCCAATCGTATATTACCCCAACAGAGGCGGCGACTGTACAACCATGGCCAATGTTAGTCACGTCATCATCCGTATGTGTCTCCACGAACCTGTAAAATAGCTGAAAATACGATATGAGTTGATGAATGGCCACCAGGTGGGATCATTCGAGACTAGAGTCATAGTGTTAGAGGATGGGAGTGAGAAGCGGTGTCAAACTTGGTGGATGTATGACGATTGCGCTCGTGGTTGATATACCACCATCCAGCGCTTGCATTGCCGAAGTGAAATTTAATGGACAATATCTGATTGACCGAAGTAGTAAGTATTTCAGCATGGCAAGGAAGGAGGAAGGGAACGTGCCAATACAGGAATACCAATGCCGCAATCACGAAGGTCTTGAAATATCACAAATCAGTGTTGAGCGCATCGATCATTATGGACCGACCCTGACAATGTTTCAATTTCATTGATCCTACACAGGTTTGAACAACAGTTACAGCACCTAGCCACATTGACCGCTCTACTTGCAAGTGAAAAACCATAACCTAAAGTTGTTCTAATCCATGTACACGCTGGTTAGTACAGTTTCGATCAAAAAGTACATACATTTGTCATATTCATTGGCAACTCCCTGTCATAGAACAAAATCGATGTAGGGTAGTCTTACAAGGAGAGCTAAAGGACTCATACCCGATTTCTTTTCGCGACACCGCATATAGGGTGTTCGATACGGTTGGATTTGCATGCAGTACTAACGTCGACGATCCTTCCTCTGTGCCCAAGGAACGGCCAAAAGAAGTATGAAAAACAGCACAGCAGCAGATCGGAGAAATATCCGGCCAGGGCAGTATTGACCCCGCGTGCTTACCTACGCACCTACCAATTTTCGTTCCCTGCGCACTCGTTTGCTGAGGTTAGTATCGTTCTCGTACATTAGACTCGTAACCAGTCTGACTACTATGTGTCAATTTGAGATGGTGAGCATTTATTGACATAGTCAGATTGGTCTGATTTGGCAGGCGAAGCGAGGAGTTTGAAATTTGATTTGGCAGATGCCGGTATGCCGCTTTGGGTTACTTGTCAACAACGCACGTCGCAAACTCTTTCATTTGTACCGTGAAACGTACAGTATCCTCTCAAATACAACAGTACATCGCGCCAAAGTACTAATCATTGATTAGGACAAACTGCTCGAACTCTTGAACCTATTGTTTACAAGGACAAATTTAATGCCTCGAGTGAGTGAAAATGTTGTATCTTTAGCGTACATGATCTCGCTGTCAGCAATTTCAAAGGTGTGATAGTGATACGTGCCTTGTTGGGAGAAAGGAGTAGAGGGAGAATCATAGCAAGGGTCTTTCCAGAGCCTGTTGCAGCTCGAAGTATAACGTGTCTCGCAGAAAGTAATGATATGAGGCATCTGAGCTGGAACAATTTCGGACGTTGTGATCCTTGAGAGGTGTTGTGTCGTTGAGAGGGCCCTCGTAAAGTCCGTTGGGAGATTCTCAATTGTATCTCGAGCAGTGAGCGATAAAGGTCGTACAGAACTCAAGTACTCATGGTTGAAACGTTGAAACTTAACATAGCGTACAGTCTGAGCGAGAGCAGACGCATAACTTGTGCTATATGATCCGAACTACCTCCGGCACAACTGGCACTAGGCTATCAAATTTCAAATTCCTCGCTTCGCCCTGCCACGCCACTCCGAGATCGACCAGTCTGGCTACACCACTTGTGCATCCGTGGTAGTATACACTCGTACATGTCACCTGTGTAACTAACATTATATGTAGCTGTACTTGCTGCAGGTATACCCAATATATTAGTTGACTCCGCCTGTCGCTGAGCTGTACTTGCAGGTTATGAGCCCTGCTCATTCACAACGATAACATTGCCCAAGCGGCCAAGCCTATGTTACACATGTACAGTAGATAAGTTCCACGACGAGACTTAGAATACATTAAATTAAGATAAATTCTCCCCCTACAGACTTCCCACTTATTGTATATCAATTACATCGAGTATCTCCACGTTGCCGCTAGTTGACAAGTGGGCGTGCTTCAGGAAGGTAATTGAGGTAAGAGTGGTTGTTGTGTTCGGCTCAGGGCCAGCTAGATCCTCAGCATGATGACCTCGAACGCTAAGGATCAGGCGTGGTCCCAGCACAAACATCTGCGCGAACTGGAAGATTTGCGCTACACCAAGATAAATTTCAGTTTCCACAGAACTGAGGCTCTATGAAGATGGTGAATTATGGCCACGTGTGAAGATGGACAACAAATCAACATACCCCTGAGAGCGTCGGAGAAGAAAGCCCGACGTAGAAGCAAGAAACTGCAACAAAACTGGCATGTGCAGAACTTCAGCGGAAAGGAAATTATCTTCACATTATTAGCTCACCTCGCAAAATAACACAGGTGAGTTTTTACTAACACCGTGAAACAGTCCCCAGCAATACCTCTTGTTGAGAATCGTCGCAGTTCACGCAAGCGCTTTACAGCAATCCTAAGGGTGAGACCCAACAGAAGGAGCTCCAATGCAATGGAGAGTATCCAGGTGATGGCATATAGAAGTATGGTATTTTCCGCGTAGTCAATCTTGCATCCATAGGTGCCGGAGAGAACCATTTCGTCTGGTATTTGTCAATGAGCGTGATGCAGCCAAGTCTTTCGTCCATAATTGGAGCTTACCCATGGAAATATGCATCATGGACATTGCGGCCATCACTGCGTTGGCAGTTCTGATGACCAGAAAGATGACAACAAGAAATGCCAGCATCTTTTTGGATCGCTGATACATGGCATTCACCCGAGTGATCAAGATGACTTGCGTGATGTTTTGGTCAAGTCAATATATCACGGAGGTGTATAGCTTACCGCCCAACATTGAATCTACGACCTCATTCGTGCTTTCCAGTGTAATGTACATGATACGGCCTGAAAAATACAAAACAACATTAGTTATCAGCCTGGAAAGATCGCACGCTCAAAACAAACTCACAACTGTAGCAGGCGTTAAATTGAACCAACAGGTTGATCGAAAATCTCACTCACCCCTACATGGACGTTCAGTGGGAATACAAGTCATCGGCGCGGAGCACTCACTGAGCTTGTAATTGCAATTGTCGGAACATTGACTGTATGCCGCAAGTCAAAAGAAACAAACACAGTGAATATAAGAATGACATACTCAGCATCTTGAGGCTGATTGTGAGAGATCGCTGATGAGCACAATATCAATCTTCTAGTCTTTTACACATACATGACATATCCTATTCCAACATAGCGTATCTAGGACGTGTTCGCGTCAGCACGACTTGCTAAGCATATCTAAACATAGCTACATACGCTGAGATACAGAATGGTCATCAGGGACCAGCGTTTCTTCTGCCACGAATTAGATATAGTTTTACGCCACGTCGGAATCTGCTCACCCAGAAGAGTTCAATCTATTGATCTATTCTTAGTGAGATGGCTACACCATTAATGAATTGACCTACCTCTTGTCCAAACGTGAGCACTGAGAATACGATAAGGATGTCAGCGGTTCTGTCACACTCAGTCTTACTCACCCCAATCGTATATTACCCCAACAGAGGCGGCGACTATGCGACCGTGGACAAGGTTAGTCATGTCATCACCGTCTGTGTCTCCACGAACCTGTGAAATAGCTGAAAATACGATATGAGTTGATGAATGGCCACCAGATGGGATCATTCGAGACTAGAGTCATAGTGTTAGAGAAAAGCGGCGGCAAACTTGGTGGATGTATGACGGTCGCGCCCGTGATTGATATACCACCATCTAGCGCTTGAATTGCCGAGGTGGGATTTAAGGCCTAAGGGACGGTATCTGATTGACCGAAATAAGTATTTCACCGTGGCTTGGAATTCAGCCTGGCAAGGAAGGAGGAAGGTAACGTGCCAATCCAGGAATACCAATGCCGCAATCATGGAGTTGTTGAAATATCACAAAGCAGTGTTGAGTGCATTATGGGCCGACCCTGACACTGATCTAACACAGGTTTGAACAGCAGTTACAGCACCTGGCCAAGTTGGCCTCCTTAAAATCCACTCTACTTGCAAGTGTGAAAAGATAACCTAAAATTCATGTACACGCTGGTTAGTACAGTTTCGATCAAAAAGTACATACATCCGTCGTATCCCTGTCACAGAACACAAACGACGTGTGTAGCGATGAGGGCAGTCTTACGAAGAAAGCGGGAGGCCATACAAAGAAGGGTTGTATAAAAGACGCCTGGCTAGGGGAGGGGCGCCGGAAATGAAAACATGTGTGACATTGCGCCAACAATTCAACGTTGCAACGTTCAAGCAAGTGAACCCCCTGAAGCCAAGTGGCACCGTGGTCGGGCTTCCAATGGTTGGACCTTGGCGGTGTCAACAATATTACATAATATTAACTTTCTTACACATTCTTATTTCTAAATTTATCGCATAAACGGACTGGCTCCCGAAGACTTATGATCCGTTCCTACGGCCGAGTCTGCGATCTCGACTTTCGACATAAGATCTTCTGCCAGTGAGAATACCGGGCGAACACATTTATTCTAGGGGACTAACTGCAATTACCAGTCGCAGACGCATATTAGTGACTTCGTCCAATCTGGTCACATCGGACTATTCAAACGCTCATCATGATTCATGTCGACGTCGGTCATTTCATGAGGCGGCCGCCGCTACAACCATACCCCACAAATGGCATTTGGTGTTGAGTGCATCAGTCATGCACTTCGCACCTGCTTACACAAACTGACATCCATTTTTCTTTATAGTCCAAGAGGTACTTCAAGTTGGGCTTGTGCCCTACCGTGATGTCAGTGTTGACAAGGATATCCGAGTCTGGGTCATTTACCCAGCCCAACGACGATGCTGCTACCATAAAAACCGACGTGTCTGCCTCACAAGATGCCGAGGGTGATCCATACCTCGTCGTCCTCGAGCCACATGATAATCCGCAGAATATGTCCTTGTTCAGACGGTGGCTTGCAGTCCTAATCATCAGTTCCGGCTCTCTATGCGTGGCGTGTGATTCTTCGATTGCGAGTCATTTTATATCTCATTTTTGGTCGAGACTAACTGTGCTCCAGGCTGCGTTCACAGAACAGGGTGCCGCCCAAACGTTCCATGTCTCACATGAAGTGACCATTCTCGGAATTAGTCTGTATGTGACAGGCCTCGGAATTGGACCGCTCTTCGTTGGCCCGTTGTCCGAAGTGTATGGTACGTCAATTATTTCTATCCAAAAGTATACTCTCATGGAGTTGAGCAGGCCGAAATGTTGTATACCAAGCATCTTATGTGTTTTTCTTCATCTTCACATTCCCCATAGTGTTCGCTCCTAACATCGGTGAGTACATTTACTACCGGAATGGATAATAGATCTACAACAGAACAACAGCTGTTTTCTTGGTCTTTCGCCTCATCACTGGATTCTGCGGATCAGCCTTTTTGAGTGTAGCTGGAGGTAGTGTAAGCGATATGTTTCCGAATTCGAGTATTGCAAGGTAGGCCCTTGGATTTGCGTTCTGTTTGATATTCTGCTGAATCACGTGGCAAGTCCAATGGCTGTGTATACAATGTAGGTTCACCTGAACAACGCTAGCAGCTAAATCATGTGATTGATCATCTTGAAGATCTCCATTTATAGGACCAGTGGCTGGTCCTTTGATTGCTGCGTACATTTTTCGCGCTCATTGGCAGCACTGCTTCTGATATGACGTGATGACGCAGATTCATCAATCAGGTCAGACTCGTTTGGCCTGATCCTTGATCCTCGTGTGACATTTTTCTGATAGCACCTATACTGGGAATGGACGTATCGAGTGCAATTGTGCTGGATTTTTGTAGAGTTGCTGATGTTGGCTACAGTGGGTTTTGCATTTCTTTTGTGAGATCGATCGATTGATTTTTGAATTCAGTTTGTTCCTGAGACGTACGTCCCAGTAATCCTGAAGAAGAAGGCAAAAAGGTAGGAGTGCATGTTCTCTTTTTTCTCATCTTTGCGCGATACATTAATTTGCTTGACAGACTACGGGAGTCGACTGGAGATTCGAAGTTTTACGCTCCTTTGGACAGACGGGAAGGCAGCCTCGCTTCTGCTGTCCTCGTAAGTTGCTACACACCGTTTCGTGAGTTATCAGGGATCAACTGCGCTCCATCGCAAGTAATGATGCGGGACCTTTACTAGAATTACTTCTATTCGACCGAATGGCACTGCTCTTGGATTCCTGGTAAGGGCAATATTTGCAACTCATTGACACGGTGTAAGTACTGACCATTCCAGGAATGCTCTTATTCTTGGAATCCTATACCTGGCATTCCAAGCATTCCCTATTATTTTCGGAGATATTCATAGATTTAATATGCAAACCACTGGACTAGCGTTCATTGGAATTGGACTCGGGATGCTTTCGGCCATTTCCACACAACCGCTCTGGAACAGGTCGCTTTTTCTCTGGTGTTCAGCATTAGTATCAATATTAATGACACTTCTTTCTAGACTATATGCCCGTGAAACTGCCAAATACAACGGTGATCCACCTCCCGAGATGAGGCTTATTATGGGTCAAGTTGGAGCTATACTCGTGCCAGTGGGTTAGTAACCAGTGGCTCTTGGTCGCGTAATGCTTACCATGTCTACAGGTTTGTTCTGGCTTGCGTTCACTACATATCCACAAGTCCACTGGATTGCCCCAATCATTGCATCTGTACCTTTCGGCTCAGGGATATATTTTGTTTTCACGTCAACATTCACGTACCTTGTCACTGCCTACCGCCCAATCGCTGCCTCTGCCATGGCAAGTAACAGCGCAATGCGATCTGCATTTGCCGTTGCATTTCCGCTATTCGCTGGAGTCATGTATGGTGGACTGGGAACTGTTGGCGCTACCGCTCTTTTGGCCGGCCTCGCAACGCTCATGGCGCCATTACCGTGAGTCGAACAAACACCAAGTGGTATGCAACATTGACCCTCATTTCTGAACGTCAGATTCATATTTTACCGAATTGGCGCGCGATTGCGGAAGAGTTCCCGTTTCGCAGCACATTGATCCTTTTACTCATACGACCTATAGATATTAATATTGTAAAACACTAAAGCTTCAACGCATCGCCAACTTAATTTATGAATTGACACATCCGCAGCGGTGGCATTTTCTAAGTGTCGCCGTGCCAGGGCCCCAAGAGACCAAGATGGAACGACACATCAATGCATCATACATAACTCCAGATCCGGCAGCCGGTTATCTTGTCAGGAGACAAGAAACCCGACGAGCACAGCGCACACGTTTCCGTCTGGCGTAATGCTGCAGTGCCTGTCTGTATCAGCTCCTTGAACCTTACACTGGCAGGCGGCAGGCCTGGACAATATTGTGGCTAGTCGCTCTTCCCGAATTTGATATACAGTATTTGGATACTTGGTTACGCTCGGAATGGGTATCCAATATCTCAATGGCGCTTCTGACTTGTGTCAACGTGCCAGTTATCCAGGGGCCGTTGACACTCTGTCTGCACTGCTCAGAGCTCATCACAAATGCCAGATGGTCGCGATGGAGGGTTTTGGAGATGGCCTGTGTTTACGTTTGTTTATGCCGCCACTAGTGTAGGGTCTTGTCGTCGTGGGTCAAGGCTTGCCTTGAAATGGACCACAATCAGGCGATGGCATCAACGACCCACAGCAGTACGGCATGCTGTAGAATGTTTGAGCCATTTGTTGATGTGCTTGGAACGTTGTAACGCTGTCGCATCATATGGACATTATTATTAGGCGCATTTCTTCCCAGATAAAATTCAGAATGATTCTGCTTTTATAAAATGCATAACCAGGACGCATTGCAGTGGTAGAGGATGCGATAGTCTGCCTAGCCATTATGATAACTAGTACGAGCAGGGGCAACAATCATAAAATATTAGGTATTACATAATGCATCGTATTAATATCATGATGACGCAATGAGAGGCCTTCCCATCGGTCTGATGGCGTAGTTGGTTATCGCATCTGTCTAACACACAGAAGGTCCTCAGTTCGAGCCTGAGTCAGATCATTTTTTTCGTACCCAAACCTAGGGAATGGTTTTATATCCATAGAATATCCTGAGTGAATTACATGTGCCTCGAGCGGTAGAAGTGAGAATTACATGAATTTATGCATAATGACAAATCTAGACCATGCTCTGGATTATAAAAACAAATGGCTCCGAGTAATGGAGGAAAAGGAAGTTACATAGGCTCCGACCTCAATCTCCTCATTTCCTGATCACTATCCTCATTGTAATCCCTGAAAGAATTTGCTCGCACGGGCTGTGCTATGTCAGGTTGCGCAAAGTGGTCCCTCATGCGGTTAGTAGCTTGTGTCTGCACCTATCGCAGCAATGAGCGATGAGGCAAGACAAATAACAGAATAGAGCTATAGAACATACCTCGGCCAGGACTGTTTTCGAAACCTGGAACAAAGGTCCTGTCAAACCTAGCTTGACAATGAAGTAGCTGAAAAGTAACAGATGGTCAAGTGAGGATTTTCATTGATAGTAGAATTGATACGTACGAAGTTATTAGCGCCATCAAAGTAAACGTGAAATACAGAGGATTGAACAACACCACCATAGCCTCATTCCAGCCAAGCACGACGAGGACACCGTACATCCAGTATGGGATCTGTGCAATACTCGACACAGTGCTGCGTTTCGCTTCGACGTAGTATGCATCTGCGTCCTTTCGGAAGCGAGAATTAAGGTCAATACACTTCGTCTCAGTGAAGACGATGAGCGTTGATGGGAAATCAAATTCATCCGCAGAATTGAGGGAATCAGAAGGTTTCTGAGGGTAGTACAAATTCAAGGGAAGAATCAATGGGAGTGATCTTGGCGTAACGAGGGATCAGATCAATGGTCTGGAACACCATTCAAATGTAAGTTTATGCAGGAAGAAACTCGCAGACACGTACCTGCTCCTTAGCTGCCTTGAACGCCCCGTCAATATCATCATCGGGTCTCCAAACTCGGGGGACAGCATTCTCATCGTAGCGGAAGCGCTCTTCGAAATGAGTCCGAAGCTTGCCGAGGATCACAGTATCAGCAGTTTGCTCGTCGATCTTGGCCCTTAGAACGAGCCAGGCACGTTTCCGCAGAGCAGCGAGGGATGTGACATTCTCATCATCCGTGCAGTTGAAGCCTGTATCATACATTGTTGAGAGCAACATAACAAAGAAGGCGAAATAACACACTTTTCGCCTTTGCCAAATATGTTGACTCGGCCTTCTCGAGCGTTTTTTTGAACGTGCTCAAGACCTTGTCCCACATGTCTGGTGTAGCTTTGCTGAGACTAATGTCGACCGGTTCAGAAATTTGCTTTTTGAAGTTCCTCTATGGAAATACTTTAATGGATATCGAAGCCAATTCTCGGATAACATACCTCAATCAGGTTGATCATCTTCTTCGTCTCATCTTTCCTGCACTGGTCAGCCACATTACCAATCTCCTCTCTGAGAGACTCGAATTCGTCCTGCCACGTCCAGTCAGTGTCCTCCAGCGAGACCTCCTTCGCACCATCTGCGAACCGTGTCTCGCACTTTGTCTGCGCCTTCCCAACTACGTCCGCGAAGCTATACTCATCACCACGCAAGCCTTCAAGAAGCTCCCTTTTGAAGGAGCTTAGACATGACTTGTGCAAGTTCTTGAGCTGCCCGAGGAAGAGAGGAGAAAGTGTCGAATCCATAACCCCAAGAAGGTCAGTACGCTTGCGCTGGTATACCCCTTGGTGATAACGAGATGCATCACGGTCGTAGCGGCCTAGAAAATGCATAAGAACATATGTAATTTAAATGGGAATAGGATCTTCACTAAGTGCTTGGGACTTCCAATCCCGCATTAAATTACCGAGACCTTCCACAACATGGCCAGCCTCGATAGGTCTCCGCTGCGACTTCGACTGTTCTGTGAAGTCTGCGAGGGCGACGGACGCTATCTCATCACATCGGAATTGCGCGAGGAGTTCCTGCTGAGTAGGCAGATCAAGATCCTTGTTCGTTTGTACTTGTTGCTAAAATGTTTCATCTTCAGTGCGTGATTTGGGAGCATGAATCATTTCCCTACCCATATGTTTTCCATGTAGAACGCCACACCGTCAGCGGGAATTCTTTTGTGGTAGGCGGGCTTGAAGACAAAATCATCTCTCGTCTTGTCCACAAACCGTTTTCGCAGTTCTTGGACTTCGGCTTCGAATTTATCTGTAGCCAGTATCTTGTGAGGTAGTGCTGTGAATGCGAGGTCAAAGTAATCCGAAAGTTGACGATCCTGGAGGTCCTGTGGTTTAGAGAGGGAATCCCAGATTTTCTCGAGGTCTGCAGTAAGGGTAGCTTGGAGGTTCGCAAGAGGAGTAACACCGATATGGTCTCGGATTATAAACAGTAGCAGAGTACGCCCTTGAGAGCTGCACGTGGAAGAACTTAAGGATGCGAAAATGAATTGGCACTTAATGACCTTACCCATCTTGAGCTTTCTTGCCGAAAAGACCAAGGTTGACCTCAAACACGGTCTTGAGAAGACCCATGTTTGCACCTTGGTATAAGCCAACTTGGTGCTCCCAGAGGTTGATAAGAAGTACCTCTGACGAAGCAAGGGAGAAAAGAGCGGATTTGCGTTCAAAGTCCTGAGAGCAATTGAATGACAATAACCATTATTAACTGAAACTCATTCATACCTGATCCTCTCCACGTTCTCGTCCATCCGTGCCTTCCACGTCCATGACCATGACAGCCATGTCTTTCCCTCGGCACATCCAGATACCTCAAGCTGAGTTAGCAAATATACGAAAGTTAACAGTCCATATATTTACCTTTCGTAGTCTGCTGTCGTCTTGTCTCATCCATGACGTCAAAGGTGGTACCAAATAGCCTGTTTAACAGTGTACCTGCCACAGCTCTCAGTGAACGGCACTCCCGGAAATTAGAATTTTAGCGGCTTACTCTTCCCAGTAGACTGCGACCCGAAGACGGCTACTATGTTATAATTGAAGCCGGCGTCGCGCAGACCCCATCGTCCTATCTGGGATGTCAAGTGGGTTCTGTTGGAAGTAGTGTAATTGAGTACTCGAGAAAAATTCATATGCTAGCAAACTAACGTGAAGTTCTTCTCATCATTAATGACTTGCAATCGCTCAGAGTTTGACAAAATCTCGTTACTTGCTGACGCATGTCCATTAATTGTTGGCTTGGTGCCATTGAGCTGTGTAGCGAGTAACGAAGGGTCAAAGGCTGAATGAGGGATTTTAACGGAATGTCCATCGAGCGACATGACTGCGGGATGAAATTGAGTAGGAATGAGTGACAATATTCAAGTCAAACAACACGAAATGTGAGCGTGTAGTCAAACTGACATTGACAACGTTTTAAGCGGAACGTTCAACACGTCTTCTAAAGGGTCTATATTATCACGTGATGTTACACGTATATAGCGGCTTCTCCCGAGATAAAATGCTAGTCTTCTTCATGATCGTCGTTGAACACATCTTGTAACATGTAATACTAAAGTTCATGACCAGTGACTTTAAAACAACGAAAACGACCTCATATACCTGGTTCTTTATAGATGCATGAAACGCTTCACACCAATTTTTCGATGAGCCGCGACTGACAAATGTCTCGGATCACAGAGAGGGGCTTGACGATGAGTATTTATTGCAAACACTCTTTATCGATCCTCCTCTTTCTCTTACTCCCAACGCCACCATGATCATGTTATTTATCCGTGCAGTTAAAAAGCACAAAGCCAAGAAGCAGGCAAAGAATGACAAAAAGCAATCCTCCGACCCTTCTGGTAGTAACGATGAACACTCGGGGCGGAGAGCTCAAAGGCGTGCTCGGCGGGCGGCTGCCAGTAAATGGTATTTTTTCTCATACCTTTAAGCAAAGGATAATTCTATAACGCCGCTTGTAGATGTATCATCAACCATGCTCTGTGCAATCCGGCACTCGGTTTGGCAGCCATTCTGAAAATTGTGATCCAGGAGGCCCACGTTGACTCTTGCGCGCTTGACTGTCTGTGTTTTTGGGCCATTAGACTCCTTTTTTCGTCCCTCATAGTTCCCTGGATTTGTGGTGTACTTTCCGCTTGCTGCGACGCTCATCGTCCCCATGCACAATACAGTCGAATGAGTTAACGCCATTTTCTTCGACGATGGTGTTTCAAACATGATATCGATAAATGTTGGCGACTGCATGACTGTAGCCCTTTCATGTGTGTGTCGCGGGGTAATTGTGATGAGAACTTAAGGTCTTTGATCAAACCGTTCCTTCCGTCATTTGCTCGATGTTCTCATCACGGAGCATAAAGGAGCATAATAACTTCCTGTATTCATGGTACAGTTTCGAATACACACATGCACTTACACTGCAAATATTTCGGGCAAACAGAGTAGACTAGGACTTCGCAGTTGCTCCATTAATCAAGCAGAAGTGAGTTCTGCCCTGGAGTAACCAACTCGGTATTCGATGCAAGAGTTGTGCCATGCAGTAATGATTCAGAGTTCGTGTAAGTACGGTCAGAGCACACTACTTATGCGACCTAAAAGGATGCAGAACCAAACTACCGTGGACCATCAGGTCATAGCTTGCGGTCCCACACAGTGCAACTTCTTCCGCCATTGTTCATGACATCTTAAAAAGAGGGCCCGAATTAGTTTTCCATATCACTCATCCATCACGGAGACTATTTCTCAAGCTTTATTTGATAACCTTCCTACCGAGTTCGTCCTCCTCATCCTACAACATACAGCCCAACCTGCTTTTTGGACATCTGGATAACTGCGAAAGTAAGAAAAAAACATGGCATACAAATACAGTGGATCTCGAACCTTGACGCCTATGTGAACAAATCCAATCTGCTATTCGAACGGAATGACATCTTCACAGCCTTGTGCAGCACATACAGTCCAATCTTCCTTGATTATCAACTAGATTTTTGTAGGAAAGAGACGATCTGGCCTGCAACATCATGGTCGACAGGCCACATGGACCCGATCACACGAAATCCGGAGAACTGCATACCGCAGCAAATGAATTGTTTCATGGGGCTCGACTCATCGCCAATCATAGCGCGGCAAACCGACAAGAATGCAAATTACCAATTCTGCAGGTAAGTTTGTATGATGTCGCTGATCAGTTAAAGGCCCGTTGTGCATGGTAAATGACTTTGGACTGAATTCGGCAATGCGTGACGGACCAGGTGAAGCCACTGTTTTTGACAGTGCATTCGAGGTCCCTTGGACTATTGCATCGCCGTCCGCCAGCGATGCGAAAAATGTAATGCTGAACAATAACACCTAACTCGGCAGCGACACACCGAATGCGATTGCCTCTGGCCAGGTTTGCTTGCCCGATGGCAACAAAGTCCTTAACAAAGGTCCAAAACTCACGGTAGGACACCACGCCACTTCCTGGGCACCTGAACGATGGGACCAACAATACTATTCAACGACTTGCGTAGGGAAGTCGGTGATCAGAAGATCCAGTAAGATGTACGAGCGACTGGAACTCGGAGGACAACTGCGAGACCGCAATTAGTGCAATACCAAGTGGAACATGGACAGGATCTTGATCATCTTGGACCATATTCTGCCGCCTTCCGAAGGTTGCAGAACAGCGGAGGAAGAAGAAAACGGGAAAAATCAGGCAATATATGGATGCGGGATTTGACAACATTCTATTGCAGCCAGTTGCCGTATTTGCGCGGACTGGTCTTCAGTACTTCAGTAGATTCCATCTACCATGTTACGAAGGCGGAAGCTGAGCAGCCCGGACTCTTGTGTTAAGGACCCCAGGCGGTATCTAGTTTCGTATGGGGAAGTCCACCAATATCACCTGATGCAAACAGAATCTAGATTACTCAATGGTATGCGGGAGCGTGACAACTGGGTCCAACATACTGCGCGGCCTTGCTCCACCAGCTCCCGCAACAGTTAGGAGTGCACCTTGACGAACGCTGCGCGAGAAAGCGTCCATTGCAAGGGATCAAGAGGCCTAATGGCACTGGCACATAGAGCTGGCGGGAGGAAGACGACAGGAGAGCAATATACAAATTTCAATACGATCAATGTAGAGCTACGATTCACCTGTTCTGCAAAGGCGGCCCATGACTTTATACAGCACGAAGATCATTACGAAAATTTGGATAAATCACAGCTGGTGGAGTTGGATAAATTTGAAGGCCTTGAGAGGCCGAAATCGATCAGGGTAACCGTCGGGATACAGTGGCCGAGAGCTTAGAGTCTGTTCGGCCACCAATATTTGCGCCAGTTTACGCAGGTCTAGAATCTATATTTTGCTTTCATAATCATAGGACCGTGCTGGTCACAGTGTGACCAACCTTATTAATCAATCAATACTAAGTAGTAGGCATGCCTGTTACCCGTCTACAATCTATCCATCATCGCAACTCTTACAGGATGTCTCGGGGCAGAAAAAGTGCCCATGGTGGTGCAGAGCTAACGGAAGCGAGAGATCGGTGTGTGTGGACGGAAGCAGATGAAACCGTCCTCATCCAGTATGTCACCACCAACCGCTCACAAGGTGGTGATGGTATGAATAGTGATGTTCCGGCCCGGCTTGGCCCAAAAGCCGCGGCTTTGGCCTGGCTTCAGACGGCTCTGGCCTGCAAAAAATCCAAGCTGGGCCAAAGCCGCAAATGATGGCTGGCTTTGGCCCGGCTCTGGCCTGAGCCGTGGCTCAAGTAGGGAATTTGCAATTCTGACAAAGTGAGCATGAGCAGGTCGTTGTGAAACCAGGATTCAACCACATGACTCACCTGGTGATGAATCGTGGCAGTCGAGAGCAGCAGTGGAATGTTGGCGGCTTCTTTGTGATAGTGGGATATCGACATGGACAAGCTCCACCATGCCATTCCCAACACCACAAACACCATGCGCAAACGCCCAGTGCACGTCAGCAACTGCTGATGTAGCTCAGACGAATGCGGATGACGAATGAGAGCAGGAGGAGGGAAGAAGGCGAGGAGGAGAGTGAGGGAGAGGAGATGGATGAGACGAGCAGGAAGGAAGATGTTGAGTAGCATAGGGAGCGCTGGATACAATCCACCCGCGCGCAGAAGAGGTTTCCTATTGATTTAGTGTGAGTGGGCGACTTGGTTCGGCGGATGGGCCATGCGTGACACTCATCGTCGCTGTCTGTATGGACGGTTCCAACCATCAGAGAGAAGTAGTGGTGGGAAGTAGATATGAAAAACTTACCGTTGAATATACATTCTTTTTGTCTGAAAACAAATATGATGGTCGCTAAGCTTGCAAGTTGCCAGAGACTTGCAAAGGAATGTGAATTACTGACGGGCGCTGCAAGGTTCCAAAAGCCGCCGCCCAAGCTGCCGCAAAGAGCTGCAATATAATGTTAAGTCAAGATCAGGTGAACACATCACATGTTGGATGAATATCGAAGCCAGAGAATGTCGTGCAGGATGTCCGTGGAGTGGACCTGCAACTCAGTAAATAGTGCATAATGATTAGCGTGACATATATTAGACAGACATTGTCATGACGTCAAAGTTGAGTCTTGAAGCGACCGTTGTGCTCAACATCAGGAACCAATTTGCGCTCATTCTATTTTTACACAAATGTTTCCCACACAGCCAAAATACTCTCAAAGCCGTGGCCTGAGCCACCGGCTCCTGGCTTTCCAGAATCATGGGCCGGGCCAAAGCCCTGGTCAGGCCATGACTTTGGCCTGGCCTGGCCTGGCCTATATGGACCTGGCCTGGCCTGGCCCACGGCTTGAGGCCAGGCCGTGCACATCACTAGGTATGAACTTTGATCACACGTTTTGGGTTGCTGCTGCCGCTGAAATGGAAAAACACCCCTGCTCGGGTGCAAGCAAAACAGCAGCAGCATGTCAATCAAAATGGGGGCGGGTATGTACTACTACTATATCAGCCTTGGTACCCTCACTAATGATCGAGTTTCAGCTCCGTGGTACATTCAACATCGTCAACAAAGTGGCCAATGCTTCCGGACTATCTTACAGCATGGAACACGGAGCTTCAATCACTCCAGAGTCCAAAAACATGTGGACCGACTTTGTGAAGGTAAAGTGATTTTAATTCGCATCAAACTACTATGACAATGCTAATTACTATGAATCAATAGAAAAATCCAAAGGCCAAAGGCCTTTGGGACAAGGGTTGGAAGCACTATGAGGCGCTGAAAGGTCTCATACCTGTCAAGCCAGGTAACAACAACTTGTTCTTTGCCACCATCGCAACACCACCTCCCATCATTCCTTCGCCTTCTTCTAGCAGCGCAGTCACCTCCCTTTCCTTTGACGAGATCCATATGATGGACCTTGGAGATGCGCTCGATGGGATCAAGTTCCCCGGC